TCTTTTAGGTGGAATTTTCATTTATAAGGGCTGCTATATAAGCTCATTAAATAGTTAATTATAACTTATTAAGTTTTAGCCTGCCATAAAATCGTCATATGACTATTAGAATAAGGCACGCTAGGGTTTCCTTCAAGATTTAAGCGGAAGCTAAGTTCATTGTTGGCCATGTGCTGGAAGCAATCAATGTCCGTGACGAGTGAACGATTTAACGATTATGGCGATAAAGAGATTTATCGGCGAACGAATCAACTGAAGCTGTACAAACACACGCCCACTCCAGATAGTCCACTTCCGATTTGAGAAACATAGCCAGGACAAAGGATATGGCGGGGCAGGACTAGCGTGTGTTTTATTGGGCACTAGACTGCACTCACTTATGGGAGCGATTAAAATCGATTTAATCCATTCCCGGCATAAATCAACCAGCCAAAATCTTCTGCTGGCGAAGGTCAAGACAGCCCCCCAGCGACCCCCTCCCCCCTTCCATGCCAACCGAATTGATGAACTGGAAAATACACATATCTGTTTATCTACGAGTGGTCTTCGGTTGACAGAATTTATAGAGGGGAAGTGTCATTCATCATCTGTCCTTACACCACTCGTAACAAAAAATATTATTTGCCAACTACCAACTCGGATCGGAACGATGAAAAGCCTTTTTAAATGCAAATGTTTTATTTATATTGCGGAAAAAGCGACGAAGAAAAACTTGCTATTGATGTTCCCTATTGTTGGGTTTACTTGAAAAAATTGCAGGCACTGCAAATAACAAAGGACAAACAAATATCTCTCCATGCCAGCATCGAATCAAAAAAAATATGTGACAACCATACCAAAACTTGAAGCGATGCTATCTATTAAATGTGTTACTTGAAGGCGACTACTTTTTAAAGTGAGAATATTTTTCTATTCATTCATATGTATTAAAGTAAAATCTGAGTAGTTTTGCAAAATGGCTGGCCCTAGTCACATCTTGGATATATTATTATGAACACATAGAGTGGAAAATTTCTTCGCTTGTTGCATTCAGCTGCATTCCGATTTCCAACTGCATCTTCATCTAAGTTCCGTCCTCGTCGCGTTCAACCATAAATATTCATGTGACCTAATCGGTTTATGACTCCCATAATCGCCTGCACTTTGCACGTCTTTTGGTCATGAAGTTGGATATATATATACGCTTTCCTCCATTTTTTTCACTTTTCCATTTTTCGTTTTCAGTACTGACATATGTCCAATATGGGATATGGGTTAATCTGAAAGGAGCACCCTGAATTGCCGTCTCAGAGTTCTTACTTATATAAAATTAATTACATTTATTTTTTGTTTCTTTCCTTGGCCTTAATCTGCACAAATAAATATTCTTTGTCTTTGGCTAAGATTTTCTTGTGTGCCACTCTTGCGTATACGTAATTTTTGAAAAGCTTAATTTTATTGAGCATTTTTTAATCACTTTTGATATAAAGTTGAGATTTTATTCTCGTTTAAAAACACCAAAGAATAAAAACTCTTTGGGATTTCTTTCACGCAATCGTGAATCTCGTTTCAAACATAAAAAATATTCAATAAAAATGGAATACGGGTTACATATGGCTCCAGCCAAATGTCAGCGAGGCAAAGGAAAAATGCGTATATTTACGCGACATATTTACGGCGTTTTAAATGAAAGCACGTGTTTAGCAAGGCAAACGATGTCGCTGATGCCTCAAATATCGCACCTAACTCGCGCCACAAAAAAGCCAGGGCACAAGCAAAAGTGGCAGGAGCATCCGCATCAGCATCAGCCAAACCAGGCAACCTGAAACGAGACCATAAAATGGCGAACGTTGGCAATAAAAACTAGAACAACTGCCAGTGGGCCAAAAGGAGCGGGAAAGCGGGGCAGGTGGATGGTTTGGCATGGGGTGGCTAAAACGCGGGCAGGTGGAGCGCATTACTTTGAAAGTACATTGAGCTTGAAAATGACTTTGTAAATGGCGCTCGACAAATATTTTATTACTAGGGAACAGCAACAATTTACTTTGTTCGCCCCTCCGCCACGGCTTTGCTTTTCCCTCAGCTTTTCTGCCACTTTTCTCCTCTCACCTGCAGACTCTTTGCCTTCAAGTTGCACTTTAATTTTAAATCAAACAATTATTAGCACCACCGGTTTTTCCTTTAAGTTTCTGCATTGCTCTCAAAGTAATTGGGGCTTGTAGTGTTTTAGTTCCGTCTTTACTTTATGAAGCAGGAAACACCTTCAATTTAGCTTGGTAAAATACAAGAAATATTTTCGCACACTTATACACTTTCCTTGAAAAAAATCAACTTTAAAATGAAGGCCTAAAACCACCTAAATAAAAAAACTATCGCTGCAAATCCAACCCGAACAGCATGCATAAATCAAAGGATATAATATCGCTTTTTAATGCAAACTTTATAATCGATGACACCGAAAATCCCATTTAATTCCTTCTTTATTGGCTAAAATTTGTTGTTCATTTTAGCGCCTGCTGGGAAAAATTCATTAAAAATGATCAAGTTAATTTCACAAATTTGTGTGTATTTCACTTCCTCCACAGGGGATGGCAGCCCCGGTGGTAAAGGCCTCGAGGGGAGGTATATAGCTATATAGCCATGTATATAGGGTGACTGTCGAGGGGCAGAGTTATGGAATGTTGCCAAAATGCCAGCGGGTTAGACCTGCGGTTGCGGTTTGCCCTGTTCTGGCCCGGACGAGTCCGGTTCTGGTCCTCTCCGTTCCTGGCTTTTGAGTTATCCTCTTCGCGGTTACCTTTTGTCGCTAGCCATTGTTTTAGCTGGTCCATTGTTTAATATGCCGTGGCTTGGGGGGCCCCGAGGAAGGGGTTGTTTGAGCTCGGCGGCCATTGTTGTTTTGGAGGGGCCTACTGCAAGTATTTTTCGTCCCGCTGTTTTCACTTGTTGGAGTGTTGACTTTGACGTGGTCAATGCTTGGGCGCCATAACAGCTTCATTACGGGACGCGTTCCCAGTTGATTACAATTCGCAAAATTAACGCCCATGTTGAGATTACTCCTTAATGCCTCCACCCAAGGAGATAACCCCTCAGACCATCTTCCCGCCGGCAAGACTTTCTGAAACTCATCCTTGGGCTGCCGCGCGTAGTTTGCATTAATTTCGCGTTAATTTCTCGCGATAATCGTATTTCTTCGTATAATAGTCTGAAACCGGTCGCTGGGCGGGGACTTCCATATTGCTTTAATGGCGGCTAAAATGCTCTTAATGGCATCTATTTAAGATTTTATTTATGCACTCGAAAATCACATTGAAGTCTGGCTACTTGTCTTTTTGCTTGCTTGGCTGCCCGCCGATTGAATGTGAAAGTTGGCGGATATATTCCACAAAATATCTACTGAAAATGCAGAGGAGGAGGCATGCCAACTAGCTGGGAAATTTCAATGTCGGATTAAAGTATCTGTAAGAATCGCAATTTAATTTTATTGTTATTTTATATTAGGTAATTTTTTGGGTTTTTTATTTGTTATAGCTTCTTTTACTTAAATAACAGACAGATTCCAAAAACCGTTGAACATGAAGGCTATAAATTATACTAAAATATCTACTTACATATTTCTCCTTTTGTAGACAAAGTTAACTATACAAATTCCATTGGCATCATTGCAGCAACCAGTGATATAGCATTTTGACAATATCGTTCTTTGCCGGCCAACTCGATTTTTAGATATTGCCACCGAATTTCGAAGCGTTTTTCATTGTAATCCTAAATCGCTTTTGTTTGATTTGCTGTCCATGGCCGGCAAATTAAAAGTCGCATGAATTGGCCCCAGCAAACAGTGGCGGGGCTTATTGCGTTGGTTTCATGGGGCTGGGTGTTAAGGGGGGTTATAGGGATGCGGGGAAATGAGCAATGGACCTTCAACAAAATTCTAATTATTCATTGTCGACGCGCCGCTCGCTGACAGCGAAAACAATGAGCGCACTCAACTGTGAAAACTGCAACAAAGCGCATTCCAAACGCAGACTAAAAGTGGGGGCGAAAAAAGCGGGGAGTGACGCATTTACTGTCGCACTAAAAATAAAGCTTCGGGCCAAAGGATTCGCCAGCCATGAGAAACATTGTCAACATTTTTTACAATTTTCTAGTCGTTATTTACCATTGTTTCAGCTCAGACCGTTGTAGGAGAGGCACAGATACAAGTGCAGATACAGATAGAGCTGCAAATACAAATACAGATACGCAGATACAGATACAATCCCTGTGTCCTCAGATATGGGTGGTTGTATCCATGACTGTTGGCTATGGCAGCAATTTGCAGCATTTAGTCCAAGTCCATTTAACTTTAATGCACTCTCTCTGCCGGTCTGCCATTGGAGTTATCGCAGCTTCCTTTATGGAAGCGCCAGCAGACGATCTTTGATTTATTGCCAGCAATCAGAAATGCATTCAACTTGGAATGTCCACTTATACGTAGAAGTGGGTGATTTCGGTTTCGGTCACAAGGACAGTGCATCCTTCCTGTGCCTTGGGTCCTGTGTCGCCTTCCCCGGTGCCCAATTACAAACAGTTGGCAGTACGGCCAAAAGATTTCGCCCAACTATCTGACCCACGCCCAATTAATGAATGCTCTCGGCCCAGAGCCAAAATCCGCTTAGACGCAATGCGACACGTCCGGTCAGAAAAAAATGAAAACAAATCAAGGTAGAAAAAGCCAACCCAAGAAATACAGAATTTATTTATTTTCACTTTCATGGCCTGAAGTTTTTGGCAGCTGACCAATGTCAAAATAAAGGAAGATTAAAGTGAATAGAAATCTTTTATTTTGTATTAAATTGTATTTACCAATTTAAGTTATTTTTTTTAGATTTTTATGTCAATCAGTTTTGGTTGCAGGAGCTACTTCCCGTTTTTTTGGGCTACTTTTATATTAGTATAGATTTTATTGATTTTATCGATAATTACCGATGTTCCAGCAAGCCAAGCATGCTTTGTCAAGAAACTTAATTTTTATTCGTGGGCTACAGTAGGCGGTTGGATTTATATTTGTAGAAAATTTCAATGAAAAAACAGCAAAATTCTGGATTAATTTTATGTGTAAGTATGGAGTGAAATTCTAAGAAGGTAATTCCCCAATTGAGTAACACCAAACTCACCTGCAGCTGCATAGTTTTGAAGGTACCTCTGAGTAGCAGACGAGTGCACTCAAAATCCCCAGTAGTTCCGATACGGAGACAGGACAGGCACAGGACCGAGCGCCAGGATACCATAATGGCCAAGCAAATGGTGGTGAACACAACGTCGCCGATGGCTGGGCGGCGCCTGCACCGGGATGTCAACCGGCTGCTGGCCTCGGGTTACCGCACCACCGTGGACGACGACATGGCCAACCTGGACGTGTGCTTCGAGGGGCCACTGGGCACCGCCTACGAGGGCGGCGTGTGGACGGTAAATGTGGCCATGCCGCTGGAGTACCCGCTGAAGGCGCCGCGCGTCCGCTTCGTCACCAAGATCCTGCACCCGAACATCGAGTTCACCACGGGCCTGGTCTGCATGAATGTGTTCAAGCAGGCCTGGTCGGCCAGCTACGACCTGGTGAACATCTTCGACACCTTTCTGCCGCAGCTGCTGCGCCACCCGAACCCCCACGATCCGCTCAACCACCGAGCCGCCTACATCATGAAGCACTCGGAGGAGCTCTTCCGCGAGCACGTAATCCTCTGCCTGAAGATGTACGCCCTGCCCGTAGTCCTCTCCCCGAAGGACCTGGTGGAGGAGGGCCTCGAGAAACGCTCTTCGGACCTCAGCCTCTCCGATCTGCTGTCGGACGACGACGAGGATGACGACGGGGGCGAAAACGGGAACGGAAACGGAAACAATGCACTGCCAAGTGCTGGGACAGATCACGTTAGCGATTGAGTATTTGGATGGTCTTTTTTGTGTCTTTGTATGAAAACAGTTTGTATATGGACAAATATATCGAAATTTAAAGTATAATAACTATGTGTTGCTCCAAAGAAATAACTTGATAAGTTATTAAAAATCTTAATTACTTTATTTTCTGCACAATTCTAAGAAAAATATCCTTAAAGTTTTTAAATTTTTGTACTTTGTTAAGCTATTTTATTTAAAACAAACTCTAAGTGCAATTGCTTACCTTTCTCTATGTTATAAGCGAAACAAATGCATATGGTCCAATTTTTAAACACAGTGTAATTTGAGAAATTAAGAAATTTGAAAGTGTTTTTAAACTATTCATATTAAATATCTCTAAATACATCTCTTTAAAAAATAATTATCTTTATATTTATAGAAATTATCCTTCTTACTTGCCTAATATTATACTGGTATGTAAATGACTTCCAACCATTTTAAATTCATGACAATTAACAATTTTATTGCTTGTCCAATGTCCTGAAGGGATCTTGGCTATTTAATTGCGCGGCTTAATTGTGTCGAGCAAGACGCAACCAGATTGCCGTAATGTTCCGATAAGAAATTAATTTTGCTCCATTAAGGATAATTACGAATTCACTGGACATAATTGAGGCTGATGTCAACTCCACTCAACACTTCCAAGCGGCATTAGACAGGTGATTTCTGATTAATTTGTCTGATTAGGCTGAATGCGAAAGGGGGCCTTGAAAACCCATCGGAAAATTGAGTTCAAAAGTGGAAAACTATACCCTCGAATAAGTTGAGTCATGTGCAAACAACGATTTAATTACGATAATTATTTAAACAATTGTTTTTGATGACCCAAGAGAACAAATCTGGCTTATGGCAGCTGAAGGTTAGAAGGCCATAACAAAGGCTCTAAATGTTTGATAAATCGTACTTGATAGGCCTTTGGGAATGCTAAATTTAAAAGCTGGGCAAACATCCTTTAATTGGTCAGCAATTGTAAGCCGTTTCTACTTTGCTTTAGCTGTGATTTGCTAGGCAAAATTTGTGGTGCAGACCAATCAATATCTCCGTGAAGAAAATAGGATAAGTGATAATTCACAAAACTGACAAAACGAATTCGTCTGCCTGTCCCCAAAATTGGTTCAATACGATGAGGCTGGGGAGGGGAGGGGGCACCTACATAGACGTGAATTTGTCTTTATTGACGCCTGCTGCTTGGCCTGTTCTCATTCTGTGACTGACTGAATGGCTGGCCACCTTCCTTCCTTCCTTCCATCCTGCCAATCCCAGAGACCATGGCCAATGTGAGTGCAGTGTTCCAGACAGTTGCGCAGACAATTCTGGCAAGGATGAGGGGCTTCAGGGGTTCCAGAGATTTCAGGGGTTCTGGGCAGGTCGGTGGATGCCTGCCTGTCTGCGTGTGCTGCCATCGAATTAGAATACGATGTGGCCCAGTCTCTGTCTCTCTCTGGGAACGAATTTATGCAATAGTCGTTGCCGTTTTCGACTTTGAATGACTTTATCTTCACAATTCCACAACGAAATGATGTCTTTAGTGAGACATTCGATGGAAACTGATGGTGGAAGGAGGGGGATAGAGACTCAGATCGTTCTTACTCTTTGGGGTCCAAACACGTGGCGAGCTTTAAGATGGTGTCATCCGAACGAATAGATTGCAGAGACTAAGCTTTGTTCTCCCCAAGAGCATAAAATTAATGACAACTAGAGAGTTTCGCATGCCGAACAAAAGTGAGAATTGAATAAAAGGATTAATGTGTGAAAATCACTAAACTAAATTAGGTATTAAGTGAGATTAATGGGAATTAAAGCCATTTGGGTTACAGTTTTGTAAAGAGAATTAATTTAATTTTACTCTAATTTTACCTACTATTTTTTTCAATAAGATTACAATGCATTTTCCAATACTTAGTATTCCTTTTCAACCACAACCTCCCACTTTTTATACTCGAAGCCAGTTTTTCTTACTGAGCAATACCAAATTAGCTTGGAGCAAAGAAATTTAATTTGCCTGTCAATGACAGCTGAATATTCGCCGGTAAATGAATATTTTTTTTGGTTTCGCAATACCTTGTTCATTCATATCATTGCATCGGAAAACTTTAACGAATATTGGTGATATTCAATAGGTACAAAGTAAAAAAATTAAAAATCGAGCAATAGAACTATTTTTCTCGTTTTTCTTGTTGTAGGTAAGCAATAGGTACTTCTAAAAAAATGTGTCAAGTAAAAAAATTAAATTTTTTTCAGTCTGAAATGGTAGAATCTTTTTCTATTTAAACTGAAATTAGGCTATAAAAATACGCAAGTATTTAATTTCATCCAAATTATTTAATAAAATATTTTGACTACAATTTAAAGTCTGTGACAACGGATAAAATGAAGGTGTGATTTTTAGATTCTATCCCCAACTAATTAATCGAACCATTTCGACTATTGAATGCCAAGACATCTGAGTGTGGGAAATCCTTGTGCAAGGCTCTCTGGAAGGACTTTTCAATGCCCTGCTGACTGCGTCAATAGACGGTTAAAGCCAACTGTCCCGGCATTGGGCATGCATCCGCTAGCGCTAATTTATTCAAGTCAATTGACTCGCAGCGAGGCGAGCTCCGTTTAGTGGGCTGTGCACGGTAATGCCAGGCGGAGGCTGGGCTGGTCTGAGCTCATTAGCATATTCTAATTAATTTATATTATTCCAAAATGCACAAAACTTAATTGGTATGGAGCACTTAGTTAATGAAATTGAAGCTCCCGCCACGATGGGACTTTCTCCAGCCCTTTTTTGTGTGGAGCACTTCTGCCCTGCCATTCTGGGTATTCATGCAAAATTCTTAGCTGTTGACAATTTGGCGTGACTGGGAATGAAAGCCAGGCACTCGGCTTGTACTTGATGGAAAGTTTCGGCTGTACAGGGCTACCCAACATTACATAACAATCTCTGGATCCGCCCACCAAACAGAAGCAGACCCTCTCTCATTAAGGAGCAGCTCCCACTTGTCGAGAGTTCCAGCGTTGTTGGCAAACAAATTTCAGGCGCCGTCTTCGCCGAGTTAGTTATGACTGCCAACTTTGCGACACACAATTTGCATTTCGGTTTCCCCCGCCTGTCCAACGGGCTTTCACAGCTTGCAAGTTATTTCTTTCTCCCTGTTTGACAACCAAAGGACATGTGTTCCAGTTCCTCGAATGGCTTCTCCCCCAGCTAATTTATGCCAAGACATAGAATGGTAGTTTGTTGTTGATGCGAAGATGCGGATACGATTGCCAGAGAGACACACCTTTGTGTGTGTCCCCGCATAAATGTCTTGTTAATTTCACAAAACCCCGGCAATCGACATTCCTTGGGAGCATGCCCACACTTCAGACCCTTGAGAGTGCTCCGGCGGTTTGGCTTTCCTGGTTTCCCTTCCCCACACACCCAACATGACCATTGTTTGCCTACACAATTGGGTCGCCGTTCCCATTCCCACCTACTGATTCCCCAACAGCTGGCTGGGAATGTGCAATGTCAGGAGAGGCGCCATCTTTGGGCATACGCCAAACAATGCAGCTTCAATTACCTGGCGGCTTACAGCTTGTTTAGCTGAGAATGTTTTTGTTCGGATCCTTGGTGGTTGGGCTCAAGGAACCCAATTCCCACAGCCAATTAAATGGAGTGGGCACTAACGATTAGGTGGATTGTTTACCAAAACACACACCTTCGAAGGACAACCTTGAGTTGAGTAAATAATGCAGACATCTTCGACTCTCTGAAGAAGAAAAGCCAGTATTATTATTATATTTAATTACGTTTTTTTTAAAGACTCACCTAAGAGAAAAATCCATCAAAAGACCAGATTTCTACGAAATCGAAAGACTCTTCGAATCTCTCTGAAATAAGCCATCAATCTGCCTTGAAGATAAACCTAAACGGATGTAAGACAACCCCGACCAGCCACAGAAAATCGCAACCAACCTTGAACCGGAATGCGAATGATAAAGTGAGGCACTGAATACCACTCAGGTTCTGGGCCATTCAAATTGCTGGACATTAAACGGATGTCGATAAATGAGATTGACAATGACAAACATGAAAGCGAAAAAAGTAGCCAGAAAAGAGAGAGCGAACTCGAATTCCCCAATCCCACTGAGTCAATAAAATCCCCCAAAAAGCCAAATCCCGCCCCTGAGGTCACTGGGATAAACTAAAAAAGGAAATGTTAAACCAAAGCGTAGAGATCTGAGTGACAGCTGAACCTCTGCACCCATGTCCCTTTCAGTCCCTTTCCCTGGGCCCTTCTGCGACCGGGTTAACAGATGGCAGAACATATACGGTCACAGTGCCACATATGTCAACCGGAGCCAGTCCGGATGATTGCAGGCCAGTCGGGGTACACTCAAAAAAATAGGCTTTAAACTTTAAAAAAAAAGTATCCAGTACCTATCTCAACTGGATAAGTAATATTTAAAGTGTATAAAGTTCTGAAAAACATTAACACAAAATATAATTATAAATTAAAGATAAATTCAAGGCTTAAATTTTCAGTTGCTAATAGTTCCTGTAAATAATTAAATCAAGGTATCTAGTCAATTTTAAATTTACAAAAGTAAAATTTTTATATTAAGATTTTATTGAGATTATAGTTATAAGATAAGATCTAAAAATTGATAACATTGTATCCAGGTAACCCTTTGAAACGTATAAAACATAAAATTCTATAGTTCCTTTAATCCTTATAATTCCAAGCTTTAATTTTTATTGTCAAACGCAAATTATTTTTGTGATTATTTCCGTTTAGATCGGGATAGTCATAAATCATAGAAATACTAAAGCTCCCAAATTGTTCCAAGTGCACTAAAGGGTTAGGGAAACCATGTGAAATGGTCAACTGAAATGAGCAAATGTCAAGTGCAAAGCCTGAAGATGGCAAAGAAAAACAAATCAAAGCCAATGGCATAGCCGGCATTTGTCGGCGTTTTGTTTAAATGTGAATTAAAGAATCTCCGCCTGGCAAGGGGATGCAGATGAGAACGGGGATGAGTATGTGGACTTTGTAATTCGGCTGCAGCCGCACAATCCACATCCGCACACTCATATGGGAGATTGCTTATTTGGCTGTTGGCTGTTGGCCACTTGGCGAGAGTGGCAAGTGCAAACAAGGGTTCCCGGGAGCTGAGCGCCACTTTCTGCTGCTACTGCTGCTGCTGTTGCATGTGCCATTTGCATAAATCAAATTTGAATTTGCATTGCTGCCTGCAACGAGCAGATGCAGTGGGTGAGAAAGAGCAGCGGCAGCAGCCAGCTGGAGTCGCAAGGCTCAAAGCGTTCTCCGCACAAATACACAGGCAGCCAGGTGTGCCAGCTGGATAAACACGTACACGAGGGAAGGACGAGCAGGATCCACCTGCGATTGTGAGTGTGTGTGCTCGAACACGCACAGGGCAATGAGCACGCAGGAAAACTTACGCACGCTCGCCCGCCACACAAATGCAAAAACAAATGCAGGCGCAGACACACAAACACAAACAAACAGCTACTAAGCAGCGCCAAAAACTCACTTCCGACAAAAGACGCTCAAACGATGTGCCATTAAAGGCTAAAAGCCAGTCGAAACTCCGGAGTTTCGGAGTCAAGAGCCTCGAGGTAAAACTTTCTGCACTCCCTATATATAGCATACTTTTCTGAGTTCGTGAGAACTTTATTTCATTGCATTCAAATGCATTCTTTATAAAGATTTTACTTCTTTTACAACTGAAAAGTAACTCGATTTGTAATATTTAATATTTAAAACTCATTGATTTTATTCGTTACTGAAGTTAAGAGAAATGCTAGACCTACTGGATATTTTTGTATAATATTACAGAGTTATTTAATTTAATCTTGGGTTACCTTCCTTTACTTTAAGTTTTTCCTTTTTTATTTATAAAGACTTAAAGGACTACTTAAAGGAATGCATAACTATTAAGGGATTTAAATTACATTAATTATTTAAATAAATTGATTAAGAAGTAATATTCACATTTAATAGTTATAGTAGGCTGCCGACATTTTGGTGGGGTGTTGGCCTTGTCGTCAGGCTCGCATATCCTTTGATTTCTTTGCTATTTCTTGCACATTAGCTCAAAAACTTTCGTTGCCAACGTTACGGTGAGCACACATACTCGAACTCGTGCCCACACACACAGAAAGTGCATTAACATCCTGCCACGCCCACATCCCACTTTGTGGCAACTTTTTGCCTTGTCCAAATTAAATAATAAATGCGCAAAGTTGAGCAAATTTATAATGTTAAGGCAAAATTGTTGAGTGACTTTTGAGTACATTTTTGCTGTCTGGGGTAATTGCGAGTTAATTGGTCACGCTAGACAATTGCTGATTTATGAAAGTCAGGAATTCAGGGTACTTGGAAAGTAATTAGATAGAATTATAACTTAAGGTGTTGTGATTTAGTTATTAATTGAAGAAGACCACAGGCCATAGGTATATATATTCCACCTATATTTTATCCCGACATTAAAGTATCGAAAAATTCCAATTTATTAAAAGAGATAAATTGCCCACCGAGGTTCCATTCTTAACGCCAGTGAAAAATACCAAGTATTCAGCTATTTTTTATCGCGTCACAAAAACCGCTTGGAGGCCATTCAATGGCAGTGTCAATGTCGCTCCACTGGATATGGATGTGGATGTGGCTGAGGAGCGAGGATAATGCCCTTCAATCAAGTTTGCGGCCCCATTGGCTGACGTGACTGTTGCTCATTTCACGCTTGGCCTTCCCATTGTCCTGCTGCCACGAGGTTGCCAGCCCGCCGGCTGATTACCAACGAGTTCGCAGGAAGTCCCGATAAGATTGCAGGTCCATAAACGCCAGGCCCCCTGTTAGACATGAAATTCGGGACAGGGACAAAGTTAGAGGAGGTGGGATAACAAATCACTTCGTCTTTCTAAAGCACTCGCCTGTTCGCTGCGGTGAACTTCGCTTTACGGTCGTCTTGGCCCGGTCATCGTTTGAGGTAAAACCTGTAAAATGGAAAACACGATATTTAAATATACAATTTATAAAATATTTTAGATCAATTTCAACAAAAAAATTCCATGTGGAATGGAAAAAGTAAATAAATTTAATTAATATTGTGACTTAAAAAGTCTTTGATCGCCATTTAGTTTAATATGTAAAATGTATTTTATAAAATGTGTTGGGTTATTAATTTAAACCATACTCGCTGGACTCCGTTTAATATGGTCCATCTCATAGGCAACATCTAGAAAATAAGTTAGGTAAAATCAATTTATATAAGGTGGGTACAAAGTAGTTGTTAGCTCTTACATGTAGGCCTCTGATTTTGTTCATCTGTCCTTACTTTTCGACTTTCATCTGTACTTAGATTTAATAAGAAAGCATCACTTAGACCTTTCGTTACACTTCTTGAGGAGCCGGGTTCATCGGCATCTTCTTTAATATTTGGGCTTTGTGTCTTCTTTACCACTAAAGAAAAAATTCGACAGGATTCCGTGAGCTCCACCTTCTTTTCGAGCTTCGTTGCTACCTCCTGCACCACCTCCTTCTCCCTCTTCTTGTTTTGTATCCTTGCTGCCACCAGCGCCATCGTCACCACCGTCTTTCTTATTTTTTCTGACCTTTCCTTGCCACCCATAAAAGGCTCCATAATCTCCAGTGGAATGGGATAAATGATCCTAACACGTCGCTCCGTTGCGATCGATGACAGGATCTGCAGATGCCTCAGCTAGGCGAGAAAAAAGGCTTTAGTTAGAAACTTTGTTATCTATAATATTCTACCTGAAGAGTTATCCTGTTTTCGGACATCACATCGGAAGCCTCTTTTAGAGCCTTCGAGGCCTTGAGCTCGCCCTCGGCCAAAATAATCTTGGCACGCGCTTCTCTCACAGCCTCAGCCTCGCTGGCCAGGGATCTTTCCAAACTGCTTGGCAATATGATATCCATTCTAGTGAAGAAATATTTATTAAAAAATTATCTAAAAGTCAAGGGTTTGCCTACACATCCACTCGCTCCACTCGAACTCCCCAGCGAGCTGTGATCCCGGCCACCGCCTGCTGGATTTCCCGGGAGAGTTGCTGCCTGGAGGTCAACAGGACATGCAGCGTCTTGGATCCAACGATATTACGCAGCGTGACCTGGGAGATCAACTCCGTGGCTTGCTGGGCATCGTCCACTTGGATAATCGAGTCAATGGGACTGTAGATGGAATAGTACACGACTGCGTTCACGGTGATCGTCACCGAGTCCTTTGTAAGCACATCCTGTGGCGACACATTAGCGACATTGGTTCGCATATCAACCCTGTGGACGTCATCGATGCAGGGGAGTAAAAAAACCAAGCCTGGGCCTCGAACGCCCTTTCTGTGGAAAGTAGAAAAGGAGTAGTTAGGAGGCCTTGGCAAATGATCAAAGAAAACTTCACTTGAGACGTCCCAGGCGAAGGATAATTATTCGAGTGTACTCTGTAACTGTGGTCAAGCAACAGCACAAGGAGAGGGGGAAGGTGATAACTACAAGGATCAAACAGAGTGTAACGGCGCACTTTTCGAATGTTGTATCCTTGTTGTCCTCGGCTGGAAAATGTAATATATCCTGATCACCAATGAACCCCAACATATGGCTAAGTTTTTCTTACTGGTTTGAATGTACCGACTTGGAGGAGGTTGACGACCCCCTTGAGCTCCTTGGGCTGAAGGTCGTTCGAATTCCTTATCTTGATTCTGCTCGTTGCGATCGTTCATAACGATAAATTTTAAATTATTTTTCAGAGTGAAAAAAATCTACGTAACTCGTCCGTGTGTGTGTATGATGTTTATTTCAAAGCTACCACTACGAAATAACGGATAACCCCGGAAGACCCCTGACATTCTCGTATGAATTTTCTCATTTATTTCCGCCATGCAGGCGAGTGAAGTTCGAGCAAATAAGGGAGAGGTCGTTGAATTGCACATAGCCCGCAAGAGCTCATAAATTTCCCTTTTCCAGCTAGAAAAGCTCAACAGCAGCCCATTCACTGTCAACCCACAAAAACCCCAAAAGTGCGCATTACTCTGCTTATAAGCAAGCCACTTTTTTGCAACAGAACTCATCGGTGACAGCAAAGGGGAAAGGGTCAGAATTTGAGATGAGGGATCGGAAGGTGATGGAAATGCATATTGTGCAGAGGACTCAACGTCAGTTTTGGTGCCAAAGAAAAGTTGTGGCTGTGGTATTCATTTGCGAAATGGTACTAATAAGATGAGCGGTACATTTAAGGGCGTATTTACCTAAAGAACAAAGATACCATAGAACAATTAATCAGGATTAAAATTAAAGTTATCTTAAAGACTAAAAACTGCATAAATAACACATTTTCATGCATTAAATAGATAGTTTTTTACTAATATATATTTTATTACTTTACATTTTTTAAAAAGAATAAATACTTAAGATGGTTTCTATTCTATAGATATCCTTAAAGATCCCTAAAGCTACGGAAATTTCGTAACGAAACGCACTGTACTGTAGGCCAGGAGTGCCGCGGCACAAGTGTCAAAATCTGACATGGAAAAATGAACCCAACACGAAGAGCTCCTAATTTTAGTAACAAAAGCCTTTTGGCGGGCTTCTTGGCACCCAGCACCCTTTTTGTGACGCGGAAAATCCAAGTGGGGAAAGTTGGAAAAGTGGCCGGAAGAGGAAGACAAGAAGCCGGCTGGTTGGTTGGCTGGCGAGAAGGCTTTTCCGATGATAATACCTGGCGGCGTGAACGTGACGATGACTGGCACGATAACATTGAAATATTACCTTGGCCAAGTCTCCGCTTTGCTCTGCCTTTCCCTCTGAAAGATCCTCCGAATGGCATTAGGCCACCCATCCTGGGCAATTATAATTAGATGTGACTGACGGTGGGAGCTCAATTAAAAGCCACGTGGCTGGGCGAGCACCAAAATTGGGTTAAAACGTGCAGCGGCAAATAGTCGTGTGCAAATGTGTGCAGCGCCCAAAAAACCGCTTGAAATTGTTTCTATTTCAATTTGCCAGCGCGGTTTTCGGGGTGCGGAAGCGTGACATTTTGGCTGCTGTGCCGATATTTATGCTTTCCCGAACTCAAATCCCCACATTTACACAACTTTCGGTTGGGGGCGCCAAGGGCTCCGTTTTTCGAGGGAGGCTGTGGGCGTGGTGGAAAAGTTTTCGTTTTCATTTTCATGCCAAATTTCGACACACACATCCGCGTCTGCGGTCAACTCCGGATCCGGATCCGCCCGGCCGGAAGCCTTCGGCAATGCGACGATAGGAAATTGGTTTATTTTATTCCCATCGACAGTTTGCTGCGGCCTTGGGGGGTCGGTTTGTGGGTGGCGTTCGGTGGGCGGTCGCTATTCGGGAATTTCCAAATTAACATGAAAAACGATTTAACGATTGCGCTCTGAAAAATCTAATTAAGAAAAAAACAATTTCCGATTTTATTGCGCATTTTTTTGAGTTGTCGAATGCCGAAATAATTAGAGAACCATTAGTTGCACGCTTGATGTTTGTTTTTTGAGTGAGCTGCTGCGCTAGCTTTAAGCCTCCAAATTGACTGGTTCAGCCCGATTTTTGGCGGCTCTGAAAATGGCCTCAGCCTAGCCACAAACTAATGAAAGCGAGCCCCAAATGAAGTTAGAGTCAACGGCGAATAGCGGTTGCCGGTAACTAGGCCAAAATAAGTAGATGGCCAGCATATGGAAGGGATTGCTTTTGGCAGCGAATGAGCAATACACTTTTTCATAAATATAAGCACACAGAAGGAGAACAATCAATCAATTCAATTAAATATTTAATACTTAATACTTACTGGAAAGATTATTTAAATAATATAAATAACATGGACTGAATCAAAAGAAATTTATTTATATAAATGAATAATATCAATAAAATTTAAAATTGAATTAGTTATTTATAATAATATTTTTAGAAAACTAATTGATAGAAGCTTTAAACTTCCTTAAAGTCAGCTAAGCTTTATTTAAGCTATATTTTTGGTTATTTAATTTAATTTAATTTTTTTCCAAGCCAAGTCAAGAACTGAGTCCTATAAATTCCAACTTTTTATCATTGTATAAACACGGAAACACTCCAAACACTACAAGCGAGATAAGATTGCTCTCAGCCAGGGTATAAGAGGGTCTTTGACCCCACATTCACTGGCCACCGGCCCCTTTTGGCAGAGCTCCTCCAACCCAGTCACATGCAGCTGGAAATGCATTTGGAGTGTGTGACCGCAGAAACACCGAAAACTGAAAACCAAAAACGAAAAAGGGCGAAATGGAGCGCCCCGAAACCCAAGAATGAATGAAGTGGAAGACATGAATGGAAATGGGCGAAACAGGATCACACTCGTATGGGCCAGGCCAAAAAAAAATGTGGTAGGCGGCAAAAAATGCAGGCTAAATGTGCTCGTTAGTGGTTTTCTGGTTGAGTTTTCCCTGTCGATTGTCTGTGAGTCCCCTCCTATTTTGTTTTTTGTGAATACCAAATACACCAGATCCATATCCGTATCGCATAAATTCCGGCTTCGTTTAGCCAGTTCCTCTTCTGGCCTTTTCCGAAATTCGTTGGCGAATGTTTGACTTTTTGGGAAGAAAGTCAACACGCAATTTAAATAACAATTGGCCTTTCTTTCGCTCGTGGATGAGTGTCATTAGCAAGACATTTATACGCCTCAGTTGAGCACCCAACACATGTTTATGCATATCAGCAACCTTTTGCCGAGCATAAATTAAGTCAAGGCCAGGATTTTGCTGACAAGGCAAAAACATTTTGGCAAACATGTGCGACTCAATGTTTAGCGAAAGCCGTCTAAGAATTTGCGACTTGGGCTGCTTGACGAGAGCTACTTACTCAGTTGAAGGAAAAAGTGGTGAAAGTGGCGGATAAAATAGCACTGTATACAGGAAGAAAGTCTTATTCAACCATATAGAATAAATATTTATGTTTAAAAAGGTAAAGAAAAATTCTAGAAGCTATTTAAATATAAAATATTTATTTTTATATTTTATTGATTTTTTATTATTTATTGTTCTTTTTTATTTATTGATAAGTTTACATATTTTAAATAAGTTTACAATATTATAAAGTTTGGTCATTTATATATTTTATCTAAAACTAATGACTAAATATTGTGTATTTAAACACCCCATATTAAAGTGGAATTGATGGAATTAGATGACCTGGACGCACCGACTTTTTGGTCACCTGGACATCTTTATCCTCTGCCGGTGCCAATGCTTTTCTCCTGTCGTCCTTATCCTCTTTGCATTCCCGTTTTATCTAAGCTCAGCTTTGGCATTGTTAATGCCAACACATTTTCACATTTTTACCCACTCGGACACTTACGTATTTCCCAAACTCACTCTCCTCCGCAGATGTCCCCTTGGCCCATCAGCCAGCTGATGTCACGGCATTTGTACTTTCCTGCACTTTAGTGGGGCGCACAAATCCGCACGAGAAACGGAGAAAAAAGAGGGATTTTATCTTTTAGTCGCTTGTTGCTTTTGGCTCCTTGAAGTCGTCGTGCGGACATTTCCGGCTGGAGGAATACGTATGGTCGACTCGTCCTGACACGGACTTATCGCTGCTCCAGATTTATGCCGGAGCCAACAATGCCGCTGCTGATTGTGGGAATTAACAGCTCCGTTCCTATGCAACATTAATTTATGGCTTAAAGAGCGAGCGAAAACAGTTTGGACATGATTGAATTTATTCGAAACTTTCGGTACCGTAATGCCCTTTTTGTTGTCGCACTCCCTGGAATTCCCCACTTTCGTTGCCAAGTCATCTGTACTGATTTCCATGGCAAATTTCAGCTTTCGCACCATTCATTTCCATCGCCGAACAATGGATCCGAAAAAGAAGCCGAAAGTGGGAAAAGTGTCTGCATTGAGACAAATTTAATGAAATTTCAAATTGCCACTCGCCTTCTGTCTAGATCTCAGGATGCTTTAGTCTCCTCTTCGTTTTGTCAATGCTACAAGAGGATGTTCTGGTTTTCCTTTGGGGAAATTGCAACCAATATTTTGGGTCCGGAAAAATCTTTAAAAAAAATCATTGTTTCAAAAGAGAGAGTAAATTTATTTGCCAATTAATGCATACTATTTCCTATAGGAAAATCAAGACAAAAACAAACATAAATTGGAGATTGGGTTTTTAAACAATTCAACAGAGTAATAAAAGCGACTATGCACTTTTTTATTTTACAAACTTTAAAATCTATGTTTTTAAAAATTGAAATTTGCACTGACATTAACGTTTTCTAAAAGGAAAATGTTAGTAGATAAATGTCCTTGGAGTCCGAAAATACGCGACAAATCGGAATCGGAGAGTGTGAATATCGGAATCGGTTCCGTGCGTCCTTTCTTTTGCGGCTCAGTCACTGGCTTTGCATGTTGGACACGAGTCGACTCAAGTCGCCTCGTTCAGGGTCTCTTTTGTGCCGCTGTGACAGCTGCTCATTTCACGCTTGGTAATTTCAATGAATTTTGCGGGGATCCAGGAGGACTAGCCACGCAACCAGAGCCACGGCACGCTATCCACTTATTTGTATGCCGCTCATTAATTAAATTTTCCCATTTATATTGGATAGGTTTAGTTTGAATAGTTTTTCTTAGTTTGGTACTGGGAGTCGCTAATGAAAAAAGACACTCATGAGGAAAAGCTCACTTACAATAAAATTACTATATATAATTTTGACTTAGTTTAAAACTTAAGAAACATTATACTTTTGCCTTACAAATGGGATTAAAACTGGTACTCAATTGAAAACGAATTTATTATATTGGGGTAAACATATTTAATTATATTATTATTCGCATCATTGTATAGTAAAAGGGACGGAACTACAAATTTAATAACAAACAATTTAGCAACGTAAAAAAAGTCTTGTCCGGGACTTTGGTTACTAAGTATAGGATCCTAGACTATTCGCTAACTATCCTATCTCAGCATATCCGCGTAGCGAACCGGCAGATAGGCGAAGAAACTTTTAAGCAGGGAGGAGTTCCTAACCAAGTGAGGATTCAGGGCCTGCCAGCAGATGCGGGTGAGGGTCAGGATCTTGTCGTTGAGCGGTTGACGGTAGTTGGCCTTCAGTTTCTTGGCATGCGCCTCCAGGCGGGCAAAGTCGTCGAAGGTGTCCTTGGCCGAGAAGCCTTCGCGCTTCATACTCGGTGCATTGGTCAGTTGGTTCTCTACGCGCACAAAGGTGCTCAGTCCCTTTTCGATTACCTTGCCTGATCTCCTCGTGGCTGTAAGTCTTTCCATACCTTCTCTTTATCCACTCCTGCATCACAAAGGACTTGTGAGAGTTGGGAAAAGCGGCAAAGACGCAACGTGGATCCCTTCGGAGAATGGCGAATCCATCGCGCAGCAGTCGTTCCATCAAGGGTCGGTTGTCGGGATTGAACTTCTTGATGTCCTTCGCCCAGTCCAGCTCATTCTCCAGTCCATTGCCGCAAATTGGAGGCGGCGTGAGTTTTACCGGCTCATCGGATTCTTCCAGTTTATCCGATTTTATTGACGCCTTGGTACTTCGACGGGTTGGCTGGATAATAACCGATCTGGTTGGTTTCTCCGAATTTATAGACGCCTCATTGCGTTGATGGGCCTCCAGGGAGCCGAACCACATCTCCTGGGCGCACTGCACGATGGCAGCCACCACCTGGTCCCTCGGATTGATCCGTTCGTTGTACTCATCCTCGCTGGAGGGACAACTGGCATCCCTCAGCGAGCGAATGGCCTGGCCGCGCATCACGTCCTTGGGTGCGGGATTCGGGTTCCGTCGGGGCCATCTCGTGGTAGTGGAACACAAAGGGTTTGTGCCGCTGGGCAGAAACGAAAAAGCGTCCCGGCTTTGCAGGCTTTTCACAGGCAGGCGGTTGCCTTTCATCCCCGACCTTCGTCTGGGTGATTACGACCCTCCTTGGTTTTTTAACATGACCCAGAATGGATGGCGGACAATTGGTGAGCTTCTTCTCCTCGGGCAGCGGCAGGGGACAGGATAGGTCATCATTGGGATCCGACACCCGCACAGTGCTCAGTCGACTCACGGTGTCCTTGCCGGTGATGACATGAACACCCAGCGTGGGTTGGGCACTCAGTCGCCCGATGTCCGCCTCCTGGTAGAGGTACTTCACCTTGTCCGCCTGCACAGTCGTGGGCACCTTGCCCATCGAACAGAGCTGATCGTGATCCTCCAGCAACATGACATCCGTGTGATGACGCTGGCGTAGTCTTTGCCACCGCAGCGTGTACTCCTCAATGTCCCTTTCCAGCTGAGCCACAATCTTCTTTTTGAGAGCCGCATCCTGTCGTGAAGTGATGTCCACAAGGGCCAGACATTGTTGGTGTGCCTTGACCACGGCTGCGTCTTTGACCAGCTGCTCCCGACGCAGTGCCTCCTTGTGGAACTCACAAATGGGCTTCGTTTCATCCGCGGCGGTGTTAGAAACATCTATCTTCGACCAGTAGTCGCCCATTATGTCGGCCACCACCTTGAAGAGCATCCGCTTCACCGGCTGGAACTTGTACTTGGCAAACCAGCGACTCTCCTCGTTCACCTTGTAGTTGGGCCTCTCGCCGGCGGGCCAAAAGGGAAAGGAGACCACCAGGCGGGGTCGTTTCGAGGCGAACTTGCCGCCTCCCAGGGGCACTTTTGGTTTGGGCAGCGATGTGAAGTAGGGCGATCGAACGCTCCGAAGATCCGACATTCGTCCTGTTGGCGAGGGAGGCGGGGAAATGGAGGTGCCCGCCAAAGGAGGCGGTGCTATGGACTTGGTCCTATTCAAACGCTCCACTCCCGGCGGCAGGATGCGGTCCAGTTCGCGCATCGTCATCTCCAAATCCAGCCACGTGATGGCCGACATCAGGATCCTTTCGCTGTATTCGAAGCCGGCTCCCTTGTAGCAGGCCTCCAGGAGAAAGTAGAGAAAGGCCAAATCGCTGCCGCGGCAAACCCCCAAAAGTTTGCGGAGCATCCTTGCCTTCACCATGGGAGTGACTCCCAGACGATTCAGGCAGAACTGGGTGCGATAAACCGTCGCCTCGGCGTGATCGTCCCGGATCGAGAACTCCAGGGCCTCTATGGCCTGCACCTGGAAGTCGGACAGATTGGTGAACCACGTGGCCCCCACCTGTGCTGGCTTGTCCCGCATGATCAACTTTTAGGAATTTATTTTTATATCGCGAAAAATATACGTTTAAAAGGCTTGGTAAAATCACTTAAAATTTTTATTGATGCTTGGTATGCAAAGGCTGAAGGTTTAGTAAAAACTGGACTAGGTCATTGTACTTGTGCCATGAAGCAAGTTTCAAAGATTACTTATTTCTTGATTCGCTGTATAAAGCAAAAGTTGCCCAAAGAAATGCTAGTCATTTTGGAAGAAAATGTAATTTTTGAAATTTTAAACATTCATTTTTTAAAAATTTTATTGCAATAAAGGTTTGTCCAAATTATATTATTTTTTAATGTTCAATAATGTTTTATATGCATAGAAATAAAGTCTTACATTAATATTTATAAGTTCTTTCCCATAAAATTGTACCTAAAATAAAAACCAATAGGAAATTTAAAGAGACTGCCACAAATTTAAAGCCAACTTTAAACAGAGGGTCAAGATTAAAAATAAAGAACAGGCACTGATAAATACACATTCACATCCATTGCTCAGCCCTTCCACACTCAATTGACTCGTCCCTCACTTATCGGCGATGATTGAGGCAATTGCAACGGTTATCTGAGACTGCATTGAAATGCCATTAATTTGCCACCTTCCATCAGGCAACAGGTGGAATCCCCCGTGTTGTTGCCTTCGCCATTGTTTTTTTTTAGCCCCCATACCATACGATAGTGTATACCATGCGAAGGGATGCCCATTTCCCGTCCTGACAACTGACAATGATGGATTAGCTTATCTGAGCGGGTCGGGACATTCATTTGCTCTTTGTTTCGCAGTTCTCACTGGCAGTATTCACACCACCGCTCCCTTGGGAACTAATAACTTTATCCGTCATCAGAGCGAAATATAATAGAGTAATTTTCTATGTGACGCGCCAGGATAATTGGCTGGACTTGGAATCCGGCTCGGACCATATGTCGCTGCACTTGCAATCAGATAAACTGCGGCAGGAGGTGAGGATTTGGATCCAGTGAACATGCCGCAGACTGAGGTCACCAGAGAAGAATGGGCAAATCACATAAATTACTTTATGATGGCGCTCGGGCCATGAATCTGGTGAGAGAGGAAAAACTTTCTTTCAGTCCAGTTGCCAGTGTTCAGGCACATGTGGTCACGGAAGGCAACCTAAAAAAAAGAAAAAAAGAGTGGCAACTTCCAGACTGCCGCAAGGAAGCAACAAAAGTCATTCCGAAGTTATTACCCCTGCTGCCCCAGCCCCTATATAAATATAGCATTAAAGCCTGGTCAGTCAGTTGCCATTTGTTTGTCGCTCCATAAAAAATAGCAAAGGAGGCGAGAAAACAAAAGTTTTCCTCCTTTCGCTCTGAGAACTTTTGTCAGCTTCGCTCTGCGATAAAGTTTCCCCCTTCTATTTTATTTTTTTGGCCAATTTTTATTTGTGACTGACCATTCAGACCATTTTTTTTCGGCTGCCGAAAAAAGTTTGCCATTCAAGAAAGTTGCATGAAAAATGCAATTTGAAATAAAATTTAAGTTTTTCAGTTACTCCTGCTGGCGCAATATGCAAATGATTAAATTTGAAAATATAAGGCTCTGGGGGGGCTTGAATAGAGTGCAAAGAAGTAAGTGGATTGTGGTGTTTCAATTGGGTTGTGTATACAAAATAAGATACTTTTGAAATAGCATTCAATAAAATAAAAAACCGAAAAAAAATTCTTTGTAATGCAGAAGAAATCAAAGGAAGGAGCAGTCCAATATGAGAAGAGTGATAAGGTGGAACCTTCCCCAGCTGGTAAGGATTAAGGTTTCGGAATTTCATCTTTGTCTTTATTAATTTGTTTACAGATATAAAAACTCGGATTGTAGAAAAATTTGCTGTGTTTTTATCCTGGTTTCTTGTAGTGATATTTTTTCCTTTCTCGCTATGCTGCTGCGTAAAAGTGGTTGTGGAGTACCAGAGAATTGTAATTTTCCGCTTGGGTCATGTCAGGTAAAGTGCTTTATTAATTGGTTGATTTGTGATCCAAATTCCCGTTTCAGATGCTCCGCAGGTCCGGGTCTCGTCTTCATTCTTCCCTGTATCGATTCGTTCAAAACGGTGAATATTTTTACAGATGTGATAGATGTCGGTGACCAGGATATGCTTACCAAGGACTCGGTGTCAATAACAGTGAACGCAGCAGTGTTTCACTACGTATTCAATCCGATAGACTGGTTCATCAAGGTGGACGGTGGCAATGATGCTGTGAAAACTATTTCCCAGGTCACTCTGCGCAACATTGTGGGATCGAAGAATCTGCACGAAATATTGGCCTCCAGGCAGCAACTATCCCGGGAAATCCAGGCGGCCTTGGCCGATTTCACCAGTCGTTGGGGAGTGTATGTGGAGAGAGTGGATCTGTAAGGAAACCAAAACCATTTAGAAATTTTAAGTATAATTTTTACAACACTAGGATGAACATCGAATTGCCATCCAGCTTGGAAAGATCCCTGGCCAGCGAGGCAGAAGCTATTAGAGAAGCTCGTGCCAAAATTATTCTTGCAGAAGGCGAGCTTAAGGCCTCGAAGGCTCTGAAGGAGGCTTCCGATGTCATGTGCGGAAACAAGATAACACTTCAGGTAAAATCTAAGAGTTTTAGAAACCGTTTGACCAAGAACTTCCTTCTGTCTTAGCTGAGGCACCTGCAGATCCTGTCATCGATCGCGACGGAGCGACGTGTCCGGATCATTTACCCCATTCCTCTGGAGATTATGGCGCCTTTTATGAGTGACAAGGAAAATCAGAAAGATGGCGGCGATGATGGCGATGATAATAGCAAGAAGACGAGAAAAGAAGATGGACGAGGTAGTGGTGCTGGAGGTAGCAAGGACATTCAAAAGGAAGGTAGTGCTTATGGTGGTGGCGGAGTCCTGTCGAATTTTATATTTAGTGGTAAGGAAGAGACGACGCAAAACACTAAAGAAGATGCCAAGCCAAAGGACACTAATGAACCTGGTGAAACGAAAGGTCCAAATAATGCTGCAGTAATAAATATAGCTATAGGAGAAAGTCGGAATACAAGGAAAGGTGAAAAAAGTCAGAGACCTACGTGTAAGAGTATCGTACTCAACTCTTATAAATTGATTTACCAACTATATTTTCTAGATGTCGCTTATGAAATTATGAAAAACTTGTAACTTAATATTTATACCCGTTACTCGTAGAGTAAAAGGGTATATTGTATTCGTGCAAAAGTATGTAACAGGGAGAAGGAAGCGTTTCCGACCCTATAAAGTATATATATTCTTGATCAGGATCACTAGCCGAGTCGATATAGCCATGTCCGTCTGTCTGTCCGTATGAACGCTGAGATCTCGGAAATTACAAAAGCTACAAGGTTGAGCCTTCCCACACATATTCTTGGGCTTCCTACGCAGCGTAAATTTATTTCAGCCGAGCGCCACGCCCCCTCCTACGCCCATAATCGCCCACTAACGATTTTAAAATTAGTCTGGCGCCCACACTTCTAAAGATTTCCGAGAAGTATAAATGCAATTTTGTTGTGTATATTTATACCTATCGAAATGTAAAATACATTTTTCAAATCGGATCATTCATTAAAAAGTTATACGCAATCAAACAAATTGTATATAAAACTAAACTAAAACAATAAAACTAAATTGTCATCAAAGCACTTGTCGGGTCACGCAGCCGCAGCAGCTAATTAACTTGTAAATCCGTACTCTTATATCAATTGCATCACGAAAGGCATCTCTCTCTATTTATCTCTCCCATTTGTTGTATGCTTGCATTTTGGGCCCAGCATTCGGCTGGCTGGCCCTTCGTAAATTCAGTATGAATTCTGATCTCGCCATAAAACGCATTCTCGTCTCGCCTGCTGTACTCTTTCGATAATAAATTGTTAACAAGCATAAACCAACCCAATTTTCTTATTTTCGTTTGCATTAACTAATAAAAAAGCTTATTAGTTCAACATTGGTGACCCCGACGTGATTCGTACAAAAACAATATTAAGTGCAAATCACATAAATAAGTCTATTTATTGACTTTTCGTTGTTGCGGCTGCGGTGCATTGGCGGAGCCAGAAATCATTTGTCGAAAAATAAAGCCTTGAATGCAGTGAGCGCTATAAATAAATAGCATTTTTGTGTTGCCGAAATTTGCATAAAAATTAGTTATATATTGGAGCGTACATAGCCAATTAACGGGCCGTTATTTCTTCGTTTGCTTTGCGCTCATCTTCCCGCTGAAACCGAATTTCGGGCATTTCGTCTGCTTGTGCCGTTGTTGTTGTTGTAGCCATGCCTACGGGAATTGCTGGAGATGCTACCGCTGATGAAAACAGGGTGATATTTTTAAAGCGCAAGGCAACTGCTTTATTTAATAGAGTGGAGCGTTTAGTGGATTCCCTTTCAAGTGCGGCGTTAACTTCATGCGACGAATCCGGGCTCCACGTGAGGTTGGAGCTGATTGATGAGCTTCAAGGAACATTTAAAAAGGTTCTTGGTGAGCTCGAAGAATTGGATTTCGAGGAAATTGAAAGTGATTTGAGTGAAAAATTTGATGACATTCTCGTACTTTTGAAGTCATCTGTTCGATCCGAAATTTCAAAGCGCGCCTCACAGCTCCTTTCGCACTCAACTCTTGCTGACGGCATCACTCCCGGAGCTTTCGGCCTCCAGCAGCGTCAGCCTCGACATAGGGCAACATTACTGCCTCCACTTGAGCTTCCAAAATTCGCTGGAGGTTATGCAAATTGGTCTGATTTTTATTCTATGTTTACCACTATCATAGATAGTCACCCTGATCTCACCAACATAGAAAAGCTGCAGCATCTACGATCATGCCTGAGGGATACTGCGTTGGAAACTATTCGCTCGCTGGAAATTTCGGACGGCAACTACGCAATTGCTTTGGATTTACTGCAAAATAGATTTGATAATCGTCGTTTGGTTTTTCAGGCACACATTACTGAGATCCTGGGAATAAAGGCGGTGCAGAGTGGTTCCGTTTCGACACTTCGGGAGCTGTCGGATAAATTCAACGCTCATATCCGCGCTCTTAAGGGGCTGGGCACGACGGAACAAATTGCAGGATGCATCATCGTCCAAATCCTGTTCCAAAAATTGGATCCGGCAAGTCAGGCCAAGTGGGAAGAGCGTTTAGAGGACCCTGCCTTCGTCAACTTAATTCCTACTTGGGAGTCAATGGCATCATTTCTGGAGCAGCGGTGCAGGACGTTGGAGACGATGGATTTTGCCATGGCAAACTATGCGCCGGGCATTCAGGTGGGAAGTAACAGAATACCCAATACGCGTAGATCAGCATTTGTTGCCTCGAATTCGAACCCTTGGATCTGTATATTCTGTAATGATGCAGGTCACTCCATTTCTTATTGCCAGAATTTTAAAGCCCTGTCTCCTACGAATAGGCTTCAAGAAGCAAAACGGCTCTGTCTTTGCATAAATTGTCTTAAGGTTGGTCATCAAGTTAGGCAGTGCAATTCCAGTAATTGTCGTGCATGCGGATCGAAGCATCACACCCTGCTTCACATGGGAAACTTAGCTTCCCTTTCTTCACAAGAAGGAGCACCTCTTCAAGAAGCAATTCCGTCTGCATCACCATCTGCACTGCCTTCCACCTCGACTGCTCTCATTGCACAGGATTTTAGTAATGATATTGTGCTCTTAGCAACGGCAAGCGTATTAGTAAAAAACCGCTCCGGAGTTTTCGTTCCCTGTCGAGTTCTACTCGACTCTGGCTCCCAGCTGCATCTAATAACGTCCCGATTCGCAAGCCAGCTTCAAGTAAAGAAGTTAAAATCTTTAGCATCTGTTACTGGAATAGGAGATTCCAGTTTTGTGACGGATGGTCATTCGGTTAATATTACGGTTCGGTCCCGAACTTCCGATTACTCAGCCAACATTACCGCGGTGATTGCTCCGAACATCACAGAGCGGCAGCCTAGCTTCAATGTCGACATCGGCAATTGGAAAATACCTAAAAATATTCAGTTAGCGGACCCCAGTTTTTATACTCCCCAGCGGGTGGACCTTTTAATCGGAGCCAGCCTCTTTTACGAGATGTTATGCGTTGGCCAAATTAAGCTTCCACATGGATTACCCCTACTTCAAAAGACTCGTCTGGGTTGGGTTGTTTCTGGAGGTTATGGCCTCTCCAATGGCTCGTCCTTATTGTCGTCTCAAGAGTTACCCCTCGCTAGCAGGGAGAATAGTTTCGATCGGTTAGATGATCTTCTTCGACGATTTTGGGAAGTGGAAAGCTGCGCCGAGCCAATCATACGCGCTACTAAGGAAGAATTGGACTGTGAAGCACATTTCGTAAGACACGTTGTTCGTTTGCCAGCTGGGGATTATTCTGTTCGTTTACCTGCCAAGCTCAATCTAGACCTCTTGGGAGAGTCCTACCAGCAAGCTTATCGAAGATTCTTGTCCCTAGAGAGAAAGCTAAATCGTCAGCCAGCCTTGAAGGCTCAATATGGAGCATTCATAAAGGAATACCTCGATCTAGGACATATGTCATCAGTGTCTGCCTCTGACAGCGGGTTGTGCCGATACTTCTTGCCTCATCATTGCGTCATAAAGGAAGATAGCTCCACCACAAAGCTCCGCGTAGTTTTTGATGGATCGGCGGCCAGCTCCTCAGGGTATTCTCTCAACGATGTTCTTATGGCAGGCCCTGTAATTCAGCATAAGCTGTTCCAGATTCTTCTTCGGTTTCGTTCACACCCGGTAGCAATCACAGGAGACATCTGCAAAATGTACCGCTGTGTTAGGGTTCAGCCTGAGGACAGCTATTTGCAATGCATTTTGTGGAGGGATTCCCCCAGGATCAATTGCGGGTGTTTAAGCTAGACACCGTTACCTATGGCACGAAGCCAGCATCATTTCTGGCTGTGCGAGCTATGCATCAGCTGTCAGCAGACGAGCATACAGCGTTTCCGCTTGGGGCTGAGGTCATTCGTCGCGATTTTTATGTGGATGATTTGATATCTGGAGCCAAATCCAAGGAAGAAGCAATCATCATTATGGATCAAACATCAAAACTTCTAGCCAAGGGAAAATTTAAGCTTAGAAAGTGGTGCTCGAATGTGTCAGCTGTTTTGGAGGGAGTTGCAGACAAGGATAAGGAGTCTTATTTGAAGTTTGATGATGGAACTGATTTTGCAAAAACCCTAGGTCTCGCTTGGGATCCAGTTTCTGACCAATTACTGTTTTCCTTTTCGGTCTTACAGTCAGCATCAAGACCTTGCAGGCGATCTGTCCTGTCTGCAATAGCGCGATTTTACGATCCCCTCGGGTTGGTTGGACCTGTGATCACAAAATCGAAAATATTCCTTCAACAACTGTGCAAGGAGAAGTTATCTTGGGATGAAAGCCTCCCGGAGTCACAGAATACGGAATGGAGTGCTATATGCACGAGTTTTGGGCAAATTAAGCATGCGTCATTTCCTCGGCTGGTTCTTTCTCCAAACTCTGAGAGTGAGATTCATGGATTTTGTGATGCCAGTATAGAAGCATATGGTGCCTGTGTCTACATCGTTTGCAACGGCCGATCTCAATTGCTTTGCTCAAAGTCAAGGGTAGCCCCCTTAAAAACACTCACTGTGCCCAAGCTGGAGCTTTGTGGGGCTGAACTCCTGTCTAGACTCATCGCGGAAGTTGCTGGGACTAAGGCATTTGAGGGAAAGTTATACTGCTGGAGCGACTCTGCTGTTGCGCTTTCATGGATCCGAGACGAGCCCTCCAGGTTCAACATTTTTGTAGCGAACCGAGTAGCTGCCATTCAAGAGCTAACTGAGTCAGTAGAGTGGCGATATGTTCCAACTTCTTTAAATCCAGCTGACATTCTCTCCCGAGGTGCTTTTCCTGCTGAGCTTAATGACTCTCCTTTGTGGGCGCATGGACCAAAAATTCCTTTGTGGCCCCAAAGCTGACTGGCCGGCCCCAATCATTGCTGAAAGACCAACGCTTGAGGTTCGCCGAAAGATTTTACTAATAAAATCTCCATACGAAGACATAGTGGCTAATTCAAAATTTGCCAATTCCTTCGCCGCCCTTCAAAGAGTTTTCGGATACGTCTACAAGTTTAGTAATCGCATCCGTCGCCCTACGCTCACGGTGTCTGACCTTCAAGGCGGTACTCGGCTGTTGCTTCGTCTGGTCCAGCGCTCACATTTATGGGACGACATCAAATCGTTGCAGTCAAAGGGATTGGTGCACCCATCCAGCTCTATCGCATCTCTTTCGCCATTTGTTGATCAATTTGGGATTCTTAGAGTGGACGGCCGGCTAAAGAATTCTTCGCTGGATTTTAATGGGCGCCATCCAATTATTTTACCACGGAGTCATTCGGTCACTGCTGCCATTATTACTCACTTTCACGAAAGCAATCTGCACACTGGACCACGGGCGCTACTCGGCATAATTCGATCCCAATATTGGCCTATTGGGGGGAGGAAGACGGTGATGAAGGCAGTAAACAAATGTATTAGATGCTATCGAATGAAGCCTCGACTAGTGGAGCATATAATGGCGGATCTTCCAAAGGAACGACTCGATGGATCTCATGCATTCGAAGTCACTGGCATTGACTTTTGCGGACCATTTCTCTACAAGTCAGAAGTGCGAAGTAAGCCTCCAGTAAAATGCTACGTTTGTGTCTTCATTTGTTTCGCCACAAAAGCTATTCATTTGGAGTTGATTAAGGATCTCTCTACAGTGTCATTTCTACATGGCCTTAAACGATTTATATGCACTAGAAGAAAGCCACGGCAGATTTGGTCTGATAATGCAACAAACTTTGTCGGCGCTCGCAATGAATTGCTCGAACTAAGGCGCCTATTCCTCAGCAATGATCATCAGAAAGCTACATTGGACTTTTGCCTGGCGGAGGCCATTGATTGGTGTTTCATTCCTCCTAGGTCGCCTCACTTTGGCGGTCTTTGGGAAGCGGCTGTGAAGATCGCTAAGCATCATTTTTACCGCGTTGTTGGCACTGCTGTTTTAGCCTTTGAGGAGTTGCGGACCTTGGTGTGTCACATTTCGGCGGTTGTTAATTCTCGACCATTAGTCTCGATTTCAGAAAACCCCGCTGATCTGGATGTGTTAACCCCAGCACATTTTTTGAATGGTGGTCCGCCTTCATCTTTCGTCGAGCCAGATGTGACCAGTCTCAACTTCAATCGCTTGGATGGATGGCAACGCGTGGCCTACTTGCAGCAGATCTTTTGGTCCCGATGGAAGGAAGAATACCTAACACTTCTGCAGCAGCGCTCCAAGTGGCGCACCCCCAAACCGGGCCTGGTTGTCGATGACTTAGTTCTGGTCAAGGACGAAAACTTGCCTCCCATGAAGTGGCCCCTCGCCAGAGTGATTGAGCTGCTGTTCGGTGGAGATGGCGTTGCTCGAGTTGCCGTTCTGAAGACAGCGTCAGGAGTGACAAAGCGAGCAGTGAACAAGCTATGTCTGCTGCCCCTTAAGGATGATGTTGAAACCCAGGCTTCCAACGGGGGGAGTATGTCGGGTCACGCAGCCGCAGCAGCTAATTAACTTGTAAATCCGTACTCTTATATCAATTGCATCACGAAAGGCATCTCTCTCTATTTATCTCTCCCATTTGTTGTATGCTTGCATTTTGGGCCCAGCATTCGGCTGGCTGGCCCTTCGTAAATTCAGTATGAATTCTGATCTCGCCATAAAACGCATTCTCGTCTCGCCTGCTGTACTCTTTCGATAATAAATTGTTAACAAGCATAAACCAACCCAATTTTTTTTTTTTTTTTTTTTTTTTTTTTTAAAATATTATTATTTTTTTTTTTTTTTTAATTTTATAATATTATTTTTTTTTTTTTTGTTTTTTTTTTTTTGTAAATTTCACGATTAAGACAACAATTTCACCCATTGTTTGGGATTTCTGTAAAATATTTTCTTTATATTATTTAAATTAACAAAAATAAAAAGTTTTTTTTTTTTTTTTTTTTTTTTTTTTTTTTTTTTTTAGGGGTTGTGGGACGAAAAAGAACCGAGTTACATTTTTTAGTTGAGGGGGGGGGTGATTTTTTAAAATAGGGGGGGTTTTTTTTTTCCCCCCCATTTACTTTTTTTATATTCCGTTTTTTTTTTCTAACAGGGGCCTGGCGTTTATGGCCCGCTATCTTATTAGGACTTCAAAATTTAAAAAAAAAATATTATTTTTTTTTTTTTTTTTTTTTTTTTTTTTTTTTTTTTTTTTTAATTATTTTATTTTTTTTTTTTTTTTTTTTTTTTTTTTTTTTTTTTTTTTTTTTTTTTTTAAAAAAAAATTAATTTTTAATTTTTTTTTTTTTTTTTTTGGTTTTTTTTTTTTTTTTTTTTATTTTTTTTTTTATGGCCCGACGGCCCCAAACCCCCCCCCCTTCAAATTTCCCCCCCCGGGAGGGGGGGGGGATAAAAAATGAGGTGTTTTTTGTTTCCCCCCCCCAAAATAATTTCTTTATTTTTTTTTTTTTTTTTCTTAGGGGGGGGCGGGTTTTTTGGGCCCCTCTTTTTTCGGGACTTCCTCCGAACTCGTTTGTAATTTTCTCTAAGCAAATATTTTGAAAATGGACTAGCAACTAAGAACCGCTTGTCTATAACAGGAAATATGCCCACTGAGCAAAAGCCTGCCAAAATTAAACAAAAGAAGACAGAAAGATTTTGCGAAAACGACAGAAAAGACATGTAGAAAAGATGCTATTGGTGAATGCTAGACTACAAATACTAAATTCAATTTGTATATTAGAATACAATGTATGTTGAGGGGATTCAAAAGGAGGGGATACAAAATCAGATACTTTTGAAAAATAATTCAGTAATTAATTAGCTAGAATCGAACAAAAAATTCGTTGTAATGGAGAAGCAATACGCAGTCCAATATGAGAAGACCGATAAACTGAAACGATCACCAGATGAGAGTAAAGAACAGATGCTTTTTGGATTCCGCCTTTGTTTTTACTTATTTCCTTATAGATAAGACCAATCGGGTTGTTGAAAAAATAGCTGTGTTTCTTTCCTGGTTCCTTGTAGTGATTCTTTTTCCCTTCTCGCTATGCTGTTGCATCAAAGTGGTTTTGGAGTGCCAGAGGATTGTAATTCTCCGCTTGGGTCGTCTCAGGTGAAGTGTTTTATTAATTTCATGATCTATGATATAAATTCCCGTTTCAGAGGTTCCGCAGGTCCAGGACTCGCCTTCATTCTTCCCTGTATCGATTCCTTCAAATCGGTGGATATTCGTACAGATGTGATCGATGTCGGTAACCAGGATATGCTTACCAAGGACTCGGTGTCAATAACAGTGAACGCAGCTGTGTTTCACTACGTATTCAATCCCATAGACTGGATTATCAAGGTGGACGGTGGCAATGATGCTGTGAAAACTATTTCCCAGGTCACTCTGCGCAACATTGTGGGATCGAAGAATCTGCACGAAATATTGGCCTCCAGGCAGCAACTATCCCGGGAAATCCAGGCGGCCTTGGCCAATCTCACCAGTCGTTGGGGAGTGTATGTGGAACGTGTGGACCTGTAAGATAACCACTGACATCTAATTGGCCTATAGTACGGCATAGCCTTCCACAGGATGGATATCTCGGTGCCGAGGAGTTTGGAGCGATCCTTGGCCAGCGAAGCGGAGGCGTCGAGGGAAGCACGGGCCAAGATCATATTGGCCGAGGGTGAAGCCAAAGCGTCACAGGCCCTGAAGGAGTGCTCTGATGTGATGTCGGAGAACAAAATTGCGCTTCAGGTAACGGCACACAATACTTTTGTTTGTTGAGACTCCCTATCTTTCACCCACCATAGCTAAGGCATCTCCAGATTCTTTCTTCTATAGCAAGGGAACGTCTGGTAAATGTAATTTTCCCCATTCCCCTGGAAATAATGGAACCGTTTAAGGACGGGGAAGAGTCGTTTGCACTACAGCTGGATGACGACGACAAAAAGGATAAAAATAAAAAATCGGATTATTTGGATTTTATCTCACCAAAACTCTACATCATGGGTCCTCCACCAGATACACTTCCCGATCCCGCAGCAGATGTTAATAATAGCTTTAGGCCATCTGATCAGAGGGATCTCCAAGAAACAAATCCCCAAGAGGGAGAAAATAAGGAAATTGTGGATGAGACGGATACTGAGAATAATTTAAGGCCTTCTTCTCATAGGGATAACGAAGGAACAAGTCCCCAAAAAGAATCTAATAAGGACAATGTGGATGAGGTTAAACCAGGACGATCCTGGCAATGGCCACCGTTCTTCAGACCCTCGCGAAGAGCTGACGATGGCGAACAACCATCTGGCAGCCGAAGAGGTCCTATTGAAGATGGCCAATCACCGACTACCAAGAAAACAGATGGCATAGAACCTTATCCATTGCTAACTAAGCCTTCAACCCGTTCTTCTCCTGCTAAGCCTTCTACTACGCCACTTCCTCCTCTTCCTCCACCTCCAAATCCACCGGCACTTCCTCCAGTTCCTTCTCATCCGACGCTTCCTCCCATTCCTCCGCATCCAACTCTACCTCCTCTGCCCGAACGACCCACGCCTCCTTCCAAATCTACCACCCCACCGGAAGACAAAGATTCAAAAGTAACAAAGCCAGACAAAAACTATTATTTTTAAATGATTTTGCAAAAATGTTAAAGTGATTATGCCTTAAAAAATAAAATGGACGTCATGACTTTTATTTCATTGTGAAAGCTGCCTTAAGTCGTTTGTAAACATTTTGTGAAATATAAATAAAACACAGGTTTGTAAAAATGTCCAACATAAAGCAAGAGTGCGGGGCTGAACTTAAGCCAAAGTGGAGATCAGAAAAGAACATTCTTGTCAAACCTGAAGGTAAAATGATTACATCCCAGGAATGTATGCAGCTGAAGCGAGATTTGGAATCCTCCGAGAATGAAGATGAGTTCGAAGTTAGTCCCATGATTCTTTGCCTGATGCTAACATTTCTGCTTTTTGTGATCGGTTTCTGGATATGGTTGATATCGAGAAGCTGTCTCTTTGACCAACCTGAGGAGGGTGGAAAAAAGGCGGGACAAAACGTCGGCTTTCAGGGGGTTCAACTCCAACATCCAAATCCCCAAAAGTTCGCTTCTTGGATGGACTGGCTCACAACAAGGCGCCATCGACTAGCAGACTTCGAGAAGGCAGCTCCAATATCTCACCAGGAATAAACGTGACCTCGCGATTCTACAGGGATATTTCATACGGAGAACCCAACCAAGGAATATTTAGGGCTAACTACTCCACTTTAATGGAATTACCAGACACATCGCCGATCATAGTACATCCAGCAGCAGGAACTGAGTCGGGAGCTGTAACAGAAACGAATTCGGTATCATCAAGGGAATATTTTCTAAGCAATAATTGTCCGAGAGCCACAGGGATAATGGATACGAATGAATTGGATGTACCCACTAGTCAGGCTGTGGCAGGATCACCAATAAACTACGACAGTATGCCCTCGAATTTTGGAAGGGAATGTACTGCGCCCAAAAGGAAATACAGCATACAGTGGGCTAAGTTTATGAGGCGCGGACGAAAGAGTCTATCCGAAACTCAAAACCGTCAGTAAACTTGTATTGGTTGAACTATTAAATGGTTTTAATAATAATACAAAAAATCCAAGAAAGCGCTATTTTTGTTTTTCATTTTAAAAATAATTATTTTACCCAGCTGATTTGGGAAATATAAAAAAATAACTTTTGACAATTAAAGTTCATTAAATATTATATTTCTAGTAGAAATTTTCTACACATAAATTTGTATGATAAAACTCTATTGAAACTTAAAAAATAAAAAATGAGCAAGCCATGGAAAAAGAATAATAAAATAAATAGTTGTCTCGACAATATTCGTGCCTCAAGTGATAAGAATGAACCCAGCGTGCAGGGTGAGCCTGGAGGGCAGGGAGTGCCAAGATTGGATGAACGAGGTGTGTGCCCACTGCGCCCACCTGCTGCCCAGTTCGGAGGAGGCGGAGCTCTGGGACAAGTGGTGGGCGGACGAGCTGCCCGCTCCCTTCAAGAGCCACGTTAACCTGATGTCCGCCTACGACTGCCACAAGCTGCGCAAGGAGGTGGCCCGCCAGGTGTTGGCTCACGGCGATCAGGAGTGGTACGAGGAAGTGGGCAATCCCGTCACCTGGACCGTATCCCATCTGATCCTCATGATTCTGGTAATGATTTCCGCGCTGATCACCATGGTATTTGCCCTGAAAATGCTATACGATGGGGTACGACGATGGTCGAAGCGAGTGAAATGTAAGCCACCAAGAGATCCAAAGCCCGAGATGAAGCCACCGCCCCTCACTCCTCCTCCGCCGCCGGCTGATGTGGAGACGCCGCCTCAAAAGGATCCCTGCAAGCCGACCAAGCAGCCCAAATCCTTCATCTCCTTCGGCCGCAGCAATGATCCGCGCACTCGTTTCGGTCCCTACAAGAACCAGAAGCTGCTCAAGACCGCCTCCTCCATGCTGGAGTGCCAAAAAACAGTGGAGGCGGAGTCGCCACCCGCCAAGTCCACGTCCAAGTCAAAGTCAACTCCAACACCACGAGTGCCAACGAGCGAGCAAAGCGACCAGCAGCACGTCGAACGGCATTCGACGAAAAACAAATCGGCCACAAAATAACCATCCTGGGAGTCCTGGCCAAAAAAATCGAAAACAAATTCGAAGGCTGTCGGGGCTCTGTGCTCAATCGCGGATAAGATTTATGAAATGTGTTCCGCCCCGATTTGTTCTCTTTTTCCTGGTTCGCTTCTAGTCGATTTCGGTTTCCTTTTTTTACGTAGCCGTGCAGCGGCGAAACACAAAAACAAATAAATATTCAAACGGCGGCACAGTGATTACAAACTGGGCTAAAAACTTTATTAAATAAATTTGCTAATTTGGAAAATAATAAGTACCTATATCTGCAAAGCAGGAAGAGTACCTATAGTACAGCACTCACTACGTAATTTTAAGGAGGCATTTAAAGTGGGATTATACTGACAATATTTATTATTTTAAATATTTAATAGTAAATACATATAAAAAAATTCACGAATTTAAAACACTCAGTCCTTTTAAATCTAAATATTTCACATTCTTTTAAAATTTGAATAATTTACGACAGATTTCAAGGGGATATCCCAAGGATAACAAATAGAAAATTCTGCTTTTCAATGTGATTTTTCAAAAATCATTTTTGTAATTTTTGGTTACTGTAATGAAAGTTATTTTTGATTGGCTCAAGCCCCACTGTGACTGTGCTCTTTCGATGGCCGAATCGGGTTCGGGTTCGGGATACAGACCCAAAAACATGCATGCCCGTACATTTGGCCCGAATGACCTCAGAGAAGTGGCTGGCCAAGTGTTGTTCCTGGCAGCGTATCAACGTTTTGCCTATAAATACGGCGGATGTCGTTAATCTCAAATACAAGCAATTTTTAAAAATGCATGGGGTATTGTTTATCGTATGGATATGGATGGGTGGATGTTTCGGAGGTCGTAGTACGGAGTACAGAGTCCCGAGTACCAAAACAGAATGAGTGAGTGTCAGAGTGCATGAGATTGGCAATAAAAGAACAATTGAATTTAATTTCAATTGAATGCACACTCAAATCGAGATTGTAGCAAACAATTTAGACAAAATGCATTTGTATTTACGTTATATCTAAATGATTGCTCAAATTATGGCTGCCAGTTGAGATTTATATGCCTTTTCCCGCCGCTCCGACGGCATTTGTTTTTTATTTAATGAATTTATTTGCGGATGGGAATCGAATCGTATATTCCGAACACTGGTGTGTCACAGCAGGCGTGGCACTTAAATCACGGCCGCAACTGTAGCGAAATTGAAAACTTTTACTATACGCCATGTTTGTTTTCGATTGTTTGTTTGTTTGTTATGTTGGTCGGTACTTTTAATTCATTCGCTGCAGCTGCCGACCTAGAGGGAAAAATAAAGAAGGGATCGCAGGATGGAGGACGCCGACCCTTGGCTGACTTTGATTTATTTGTTGGTCCCGTCGCGCTATCCAAATGGAATTAAAAGTTTAACAGCTCCGGAATGCGCTTTAGTGCTTTAAAAACGCATTGATTGCTATTGACAAATTGATTTTCTTTCCGGACCGAATGCCGGTTTCAGTTCGATTCAATTCGAATCGAAACGATACGATTCGGGTGCATTAACAAAGGGCCCTGCGACATTATGACAGACTGTCGTCGTAAATCAGCAGCCGCAGACCACAAACGAGTTGAGGCCTCTGTTTCTGGTTGTGTCAACCCTTTTGATTCCACTTTAAACGTTCGAGGGCCTGACATTTAATTTAATTTAACCAAACAATTTAATAGGTGTGTGCTGCTTGAAGTATTTGCCATAATTAAACTTCAATGCGCATGGCAATGCAATGCCATATTTGCCAGTTGCAACTTCTTGACTCAAATTAGAATTCGATTTGCTGCCGCTTGTCTGGCAAATTTATTTATCGAATCAATCACCGGGCCATTCGATTGAGGTTCGTGTACAAATTATTTGCCCACATTGATTTGTCCCTTTGGGTTCGCTTTGAAACATTGCCACATTGTTTGCCCCTCCTTTGAGCTGAAATTGATGAAGCAATGTTTTTGATCCCGAGCTGCATACTTTGCTGCGTCCTCTCCCATTGTGGCTTCTGACCAGAGTCGTCCTGCTCCTCCGCCATGTGGCATTCGACAGAAGGAAGGAAGGAAGGCACACATCCATTTCACAGAGCGTCGACAACTGGCGGTTTTGGGGGTTGGGCAGGCATATTAGAATTTGATAAATGTGCAGCACGAAACCAGGACCAAATGCAGTGGGATATGCGTTGCACTGGGAGAATATCCTGTGGCCAAAGTCTGTGATGAGTGAACATTATTTGACTGTGGTTAGGTGAACAATTTGATTGAGTTCTGGCGATATTCAAAATAAAGGTAATAATAAAATGAAATCATTGAATCTGGGAAACTATCAACATTCAGACTGGTCTGCAACAAAATTTAAATCAGTTTCCAGTGCATGGAAATTTAGTATTTAGATAAGGTGAAACGAATTGATTTATTCTTTCACGCAGCTGAAAAAACTCTGCATATTTAAAACGTGATTTCATAGTGATAAATTTAGTACCTTAATCCAATCACATATTTTTAGGATTTTTTCCCGTGTAATGCAGCTTGTTTTCAGGGTTCAGCTTCATTCTTTACACGATTTAACTCGTTGATTTTGTGGCTTACACTCATTAAGCCAGCCTGGCCCCCAATGCTATTGTTGGTATTGTGAGTTTGAAGGGAGCAGCAGAGAATGGATGGAAAAAGCTGTTAGCCGAGCCTGGACAATCCGAGTCCGAGTCCGAGCCCTCTTACTTTGGCCATTTAAGCAAGCTGCACAACGGCTCTTTGTTTGATTGCGACTCGTAGTTGTTGGACTCGCTTGCGGTTGCTCATACGCCCCATAAGCCCGCGCCATCTGAGACCACATATCCCTCATCGCTGAAGATGTGGCCTGCATGTCGACGCTGATTTTTATTCTCGGTCTGGGACTTGATTTATTTCCATGCCCTTGCACCGCCATTGTGCGACCGGGGTCTTACTTTTCAAGAACTCAAACAAAGTATTAAATCGCACAAAAGCGATATGGAAAATATTAATAATATGCCTGGCCAATGGCCAGCGATTCTTTGGCCACAGTCTCGGAATTTACGATGGGGCCATCGTTGATTTATTCCTCCCACGGTCGCGCCCCCTCGATTTGACCTCATTACGCATTCAGGGGTCAGCCGCGGCGGTTTTAAAGAGTGCGTTCGAACATCCCATGTGGCGGGCCTGCAGATTGTTGTACTAATTTTCTTTCCAGTTTATCGCTGGCTGTCATAAATGCTGCATAATTCAGAAGGTCGTGCAAGTCATCGACAAAGCTGTGGTAGTATCAATTCATATCGCATAATATGGCAATCGACATGCGAACAATCGGTAAATATGAATTTTAGATTTGATTGAATTCGAATTACATTTAGCCCCCAGTGAGCGTAATAATACAAGGCGTATTATCGGATATCAATAGATTTGGATTCCATTCATTTTATGGCTATATTCGTGTTTGGTTAAAAGGGCAATAGTTTACCAATAGTTGTTTAATTTAATAAGCTGGCTCAAAGGCTTTGTTTTTGCCGAGCTAAAATTAGTTATTTGCATTATTATTATAATAATATCATTACTATTTTTTAAACAAATGAATAATTCTTTGTTATTTGATATACCCCACAAATATATTTCCATTACTCCGTCATTTAAAATGGACTTTTTAATTTATTCGCAGCTTTGAAGATTGCACTCAAATAGATCAACTAGCTGACAACACAAAGTAAAGGTAGCTTTATGCACTGTTAATTATTTGAATCGTTGATTGAATGAGCTCACTTAAAATAATTGTTAATTAAATGGATTTTATGCAAAGTCATGCGGCTTTTGTAAACTTTAGGTTGTCATTATAAATCCATGATGAACGACAACCCAGCGAGCCGGCCAGAGAGAATAATTAAACAATTTAATGATGGTTAATAACAAGTCTATGTGACAGCCTTAACCTCAATTGTGGAGCTTTGAGGGAGACGACCTTTTTGATTATGTGCAAATCAGTTTTCACAGCAAATTAGGCAGCCACACATTATAACTTTGACAGACAGGACCAGCCGAACCCCCTCAAGGGCGTCCTCGACCGCAGCCTCCTCAAACAGCCCCCTTTCACCGATTCACCGTTTTTCGTAGACAGTGGAAAGTAGAAAGTTCGCCCGGAGGCTCTTAAAAGTACACATGTAGCATATGTATGAGGAGCATCAGAAGTTTTAAAGCAGCTGCCGGCGGAGAAGGAGAACGGGGTAATCCGCCAACCACCTACTCACCCATAAAGCCCCTCACAAAAGTCACACAGAGGCCATCGTATAAAAAAGGAACTTTTCGCGGCCACGGGAGCATGAAAGAGCCAAGAAAATTCAAACAAAAGTGCAACCAACTTTGGGGGCAACTCCCTTTTATTTTTGCCCCGCCCGTAGAAAAAGTTTCATTTTTTTTGACATTACTTTTTCCATTCGCAAGACATTTAAACACTTGCCGTGTAATTTATCTGATGGCAGACAAGTGTGCAATCAATAATAAAAGGATATAAAATATCAAAAGCAATGAAATGACTCTTCGAAAATTAAAGATTCAGGTGAATTGAATTTCCAAACGAGTTTAACGCACACTACGAGGTTTTCTTCAATAACTAAGAAAAAACTTTATTAAATATGTCCGTAGCTCAACATTAAATTTTATTTTATTTAAATTTCTAAAAAGGGTGTTCAATGTCCAAAAAACTGGAGTCCTTTGACACAATTTTAATGTATGCTTGTTTGCCAACAGTTTATTTTTGAGGGAAAAACAATCAGAAAACAGTTTAGTGCGGCGAGTTAAACATTTGCTCCGTCTAAATCCGTTTATCTTTCAGAAAGGAACTATTTATTGGCTTGCATTTTTCGATTTGGGAATGCCGTTATTCAAATTTTCAATTCTAGACGAGATCATATAAATAAATATTAAAGATTAAATATTTATATTGGCTTTTAATATCAAAGGAAAAACATAACTGCATTTTTATTAATTTATTTAATTTTTAAAAGATTTTGTCTCCTCCTAGAAATGAAGCACAAAATTCACCCGGTTTAAGGGGTTATATACCTTTTTTTTTTTCAAAAAAACGAAAATTTTTTTTTTGCTGATTCCTAAAGTATATCCCCTAGAGAACATCTTCCCAAATTTTCATACAGATCCGAATAATAGTTCGATAGGAAAACAGCGTTTTGCCGCGCTCGACTTCAATAGTTGCAACGTCAACGTAAAACTTTGAATGCGATTATCTCAAAGTCGTGTTTTTCCAAAAGTGCCTTCGCTGTGACCACGATTGCACAAGAAATATTTGATCGATCTTCTTGAATTTTTTTTAAATTATTCGTAATGATTGTGTCGAGTTCGTGAACGATTCAGTTTTTATGCGCCGATTTTGATTTCGCAGAAAAAAATTTATTAATGAAATTTTTAGTACTCAAAAAATCAATTTTTTGGAAAAATTGTTACTGTATGCAAAAAAAAGCAAATATTCTTAAAAAAAAAACGTTCACGAACTCGGCACAATCATTACGAATAATTTAAAAAAAAATTGAAGAAGATCGATCAAATAGTTCTTGTGCAATCGTGGTCACCGCAAGCCGCTATAAAAAAAAAAGGGTTCCGAGAGAATTGCCATAACTTTGTAAATTATTCATATATTTTCAAGATCAAACGCTTGTTGTTTCGATAAAAACATGTACTATCAAAAAATAATAACTTCAGTTTCATAAAATAATTGCTACACACCTGAAAAAAATCCAAAGTTCCCTCAATTTTTTTCGCTCAAAAAGGTATATAACCCCTTAATAGTCCATTTCTTATCCTGAGCATATTCCTCCGGTCGCGTCCCTTTCAGCGCCTTATGATGTAACCAACATCCTTCGACTGGGAATGGTTTGTTTCATTTGCCAGTGAGGACTCGGGTGTATTTCATTTCAATTCCATTCCCAAAACGGCATTACTGAGGGGATTTTCCCACTTCGAAATGCGCATGACTATTCCCACTTCCGTTCACTGTTAACCGCTTCAAGCTGGAAAAACTGTACCCAGTTTTTAAAAACACCAATTTGAATTTTCAAGATGTAGTGAACAAATATTAACTCAAATTACAAATAAATTAAAATACATATATTGAATTAAAGTATTTATTTAACTAATAAATTAGACAGAATGTTTCTAAAGCTTCATAACCAATAAAGTCCCTATAAATTTGATTATTAAGGTATTCGGTATTAGCTAAAATCAATTAAATAAATGTAAATTGTGGATGGTAAATATTTAATATACTTAACAATGTTAGACCCACAGAGCCAAGGTTATATTTATAGCTAATTTAATGTCCGAAACTTTGAATCAGTGAATCAGATAATGTTCAGCACCCATATCCTTGTCCCTGGTTTAGGTTGAATAAAATTAAATCGTTGTTGAGTAAGTAGGTCAAGTATTTTGATATTTCCTCCAATACATAATTGTTCCTGCCACTTAACTAATTAAATGAAGACAATTTTCTTTGTGCTCTCACCTCGACTCGACTCACCTGTCGTCCACATGGGCACCCAAACACACTCGCTGCCACTTCCCCTTGCACTTGGGAGTGCTATGACCATGAACACTGTGCCACCAATGACAATGAGATGAGATGAGAACGCCCCCAGGTTATGTTCATAAGGCAGACGGACGACGGCGGGATCGTTCTGTTGAAGGCGTCTAATCTCATTCATTTTGAATAAGACCGGCTCCAACGTATTTAGCCCGAGTACTTGTGTCAACACAATTCAGGACGGTTTCAAATTAAAAGGCCGTGTAATATGCTCCACTCTGAGACGGTTTTTGTTTTGGTTTTATTTTTTTCCTTTTGGTAGGTCCTACTTGGTTTGTGCCTAGGCAACTGTCAATAGTCTCGGAGACTGCCATCGGGACAAATTGCCTCGGGCTGACGTCAGCAACTTTTTGAGAAAGTGAAAGTAATTAAAAAAGTTTAGCTGAACGGATTTTCAAAAATATCCAATTGCTTAGCTTACCAAATGCAGGCCTCTCAACTTTAGATGGAGGGTGGGAAAAGCGAGTACCAAGAAATTTTATTTAATTTCTATTTACTAGAATAGTGACAAACAAACATTATAATAATTAAAATTGAAACTAATATAAAATGTAATGATTAAGAGAGAAAAATAAAAAATGTAGATCACTCAATTATTTATATTATTCAGCAAAAGTTTACGAAAGACGATTATACCTGAAGTAATATACGTTTTACTTCCAATAAGATCACTCAATTATTTATATTATTCAGCAAAAGTTTTCGAAAGAAGATTTCACCTGAAGTAACATATATTTTTCTTGCAATAAGACATCGAAGGACCAAATGACCATAAGATAAGATGGCCATATTTACATATATAATTTCTTCGTCCTGTTTTCTCTTTAAGAGACGTTAAAGGGAGCTCGGTTATAAGGGATTGGGGCATATTGACTTTACGCAGACTGGAATTTGGCTACGTGACTTGACAATACGAAGAAATGACGACGGCGAGCTCCACGATGTTGATGATGATGGTGGTTCTGATGGGGACGATGCGAAGGGCCGCATGAAATGCAAATTTGGCAACATTAAGAGTGAGAGTGGAGCGAAAGTTGAGTGGGGAAAGCAGTGCAGGATATCACAGGGACGAAAGAGAAAAAAAAACAAGTTGTTGGCTTAATTTCGTCACAGGCAGCTTGTTTTCATTAACTGGCCATCGAGGGGCTTTTGACTTGGTTCCGCTGCTCGTTAGGCGTATGAGCAATCGATTAAGAATAATGTGCCGATGGATTTACAGTTGCAGCAGAGAGCAATCAACATTAAGTGTTTAGTCAGCTCCGTTGAAAGTGAGGGGTGAGATGTGGTATATAAGGGACGCTCCATATCAACCCGGCCACCCCCCTTTTTTTTTAAATTTCTATGTGGACAGTACCACATTGATTGCAAAGCCCCTTGCCTCCAATATTTTACCTCATACCCATTTTTTTTATGTTACCACTCTTTCGCCGTATAATCGCGTTAAAAAGAAAACACAAAATAATTTTTATCCTGCGAACGGAAGAAACAATTGGCATGGTTCGAAATCAGAAAAACCTGTCTTTCCATAGCCGATTACGAGAAAAAAAAGGATTTTATTGGACCATAGATGACCAAGCGATAGCGTTTTTAAAGTCTAAAAGTGGGATTTCGTCCAAAGGGCCAGTCTGCAAAATTACCATTATATTTTTCTCAGAAAGCCCCATATTTAACGGATTTTATGCCACTGATTTCAAAGTGGGATCTCTCTTGAGGAATTAGCTATGAATTCTTTTGTACGTTTTTGTAGTAGTTAACTGTCAGAAAAAGCTAATAAGTAATATAAAATAATCATATATGCTTTGGAAAAAATTAACAAATCAATGAAAAGAATTCATAGCTAATTCCTCAAGAGAGATCCCACTTTGAAACCAGTGGCATAAAATCCGTTAAAACTCGTGCGTTTTGAGAAAAATATAATGGTATTTTTGCAGACTGGCCCTTTAGACGAAATCCTACTTTTAGACTTTAAAAACGCTATCGTTGATATGGAACGTCCCATAAGGAAGTCAAAGTAGTAAGGGCTGGTTCCCCCTGAAGAGGGAAACTTATCGCATACTAACATTTTTCTGATGCAGAATTGCTTTTCAACCTTCCTAGGATGACCTCCCTTTAAAGAAGTTAGCGAAGGTGAAAATTCCTCAAAACCATTGGATTTTTCTTTTTTTAATTTTTCTGGGAATAGAGAAAAATATTTTAAAAATCTAAAACATTTAATTTAGAGGTTTTTCTAAAATTAGGGATATAAAATCTCCTTCCAGGAAATTTTGTCAGTCCTTGTTTTTCCTAAAAACGGTTCAAATTGATTTTTAATCCTTTTCCCATTTCCCAAGTAAATGGGGAGTTAAGCTGTGTGCATATATAACTGAAATATGAGCTACACTTCTTTATCCTTCGCCGTTATGCATGCCACACGCATTCATATGCACAACAGGAAGTTGATTATTAAGTGCGTTCGCGAGTTGCTTCTCTTAATGCCTTTTGCTGCAGCTTCGCACTCCTGCGGCATCCTTGCTGCTCCTTGTTGTTGCCTATGCCCGCCACTCCTCTGCACGTGTGTGCGTCAGTCGGCAAATTTCTTTATTGCGCTTTTATTTATCTGTCAGTGCCAGTTTCAACTTCGTTTACCGCTTCAATTTATCGGCTCCCTATGAGCATGATTTATTGGTCCATAATGGGTGTGCGTTTTTCTGTCTTTTAGTTCCGACCTCAAAAGCCAAGAGATTTTGCTGCAGGCAATATTTAATTTATGAACAATGTACCCTGAACTATATGTACTTATTTTTTTATCTTAAAGGTAAATGTATTTGGAAACAGAATTACCTCATTACCTAATTAAGAAATTATTTAATTCAGAAGATTTTATTGCTTAATTTTTTTTTGATTTTATAATAGTAAAAAATAATTTGTAATCGTGAAAAAAAGAGTCATTATGAAAGGATTAGTAATTATGAAAGGAACAATTGTATTTAAAAATCTTAGAGGTTAGTCGAGTAATATAAATTTATAAAATAAAAAAAAATTTTTAATTTTTTTTTTTTAATAAAACGGTTAACCTATCACATAATTAAAATATGGTTCAGATTTATAAAATCAATAGTAAAGTTAATGAAAGAAAAAACTATTTCTAGCTATCAGAACATTGCTTAATAAATCTTATTATTCAATGCCAATAATTATAATAACCGTAACAAAGATCGGCATGAAAAATAATTAGGAATATCTTAAATAGCTAAAAAACTGCGCCGGAAATCGATGTCGCAGGAGTTGCGGTACCGCCCAATCTTCCGGTTGCTCATTTGCCGGAATCGCCGCATGGCCTCATGGATCTCCGGGACACTGATGGGCTTGACCACCTCCATGCCGCGACCCTGGGTGACCTCGGGACAGACGTGCATCATGGCGGGGCTGCCGCCGGCGGAGGTCACTCGGCTGTAGGGCTCGGTCACGCGGTTGCCCGAGTTGAGGCGCGTCAGGATCGAATAGTCCACAATGGCGGCAATGGTCTCGTGCGCCAAGTAGGCCAGAATATTCATTGTGGGCGTGGGGATGCGCAGGTCGGCGGGCAGATCCAGAAAGCGCCGGAACTTGTTCTTGATCTTCTCGCCGTGGCGGCAGTAGAAGGACGTTTTGCGCGCCTCGTTAAACTCCAGATACTGCTGACCCGTGAGGATCTGCGAGATGCGATCGGCGCGGAACAGCCGACGCATGCGATCCTCGTCGTGCAGCTCGTGCACATCGATGGCCAGCTCCTCGTCCTCCTCCTGCTGCTCCAAGTCGTCCATAAAGTCCTGCGGCCTGCCCGTGCGGATGCTGAGAAACCGCTTCAGAATGCGCATATCCTTGAGATGCTTTCGCATGCGCGCTATCTTCACCGGATGGTTGCGCATCAGAAACTCGAAGTCCGCCTGCGAGGGGCACGGGTTCTGCTTGCGTCGCATGGCCACAAGGGAGGCCTCGTTGAAGATGCCCCGCAGCTGCTGCTGCAGGATCTGCTCCACCAGCTTGACGCTGCCCGTCTTCGGCTGATCGCTGTCCCCAAAGCTCCGCATGATGTCCGCAATCTCGGTGAGAAGTGAGACGGGCGCATCGTCCGGAATCTGTGCGTTGGCCACATTGCTACCACAGGCGCCGCCGGCTGCACTTTGTCCAGCCAGGTTCACCTGCTGCTGGGGCGATGGATTTGGCGGAATGCTGGCGCTCTGCAGCAGGATCACCTGGCGCTGCTGCACATGAAGTGGCTTGATGTCCTCCGCGGTTTGCAGCTGCGGCGTGGTGGGCGCCGAGGGCGGGGCAGGCCCCATCATGATCGGCGACGAAGCCAGGTCGTTGGACCCTCCAACACAAACCGAATTCTGGCGCATCACTCGCTTGGCGTTGTAGTTCATTTTTCAAATTTTTACTTTTATTTACAAACAAAGTAACCACTTCAAAGCCGACAGCTGATGGTGAGAGAATACAAAAGTCACAGAATGTCAGAGATGACCTATCGGTGGGCTAATCGATAGTTGTTCCATTTTGCGAAGGTGACAAATTAAATAAAAATTAAAATGGGTAATCAACCAAATAAAATAAAAAAATAACAATAAAATTACCAGCCTACTAGAACAAAAAAATGTACATTTAAAAGCATCAAAATCAGATTTTAGGGAACCCGAAATTTATTTGTGTTGGAAAACAAGGGAGTTTTTTGTTGTTTTTGACAGCAACTCTGCGAAAAACCTCTAGTGTTTTTTGGGACTCACCTGATTGAAACCAAAACTGAGTAGTCGAGCTAAATTAAAAACTTCGGACTTGACAGAATACGTTTTCATTACATTTTCTGGTCATTGCGCGTGCAAACATATTTATAGTTCTCTCCTTGATTCAGTGCATTACAAATTGCTAAAAGAATAGTTTGAAATTTTCTTCGAAGGTGCAACTAACACATTCACTTACCACAATTCCCTTTCTGCACTTTAGTGCAACGGTGCGCGAAGCATTCACACCGCTCTCCAGAAATTTTCCGGCGCGGATGTCGTAGAACAGGAGCATGCCCAGACCCGTGCCAACGGTCAGAATGTTTCCTTCTATTGATGTGGCCCGAATTCCGCACCCACTGTACCGGGAGGTGATCTTCTTGATGGTCTGAAGCGTCCGCGCGTCCAGGAGGATGGTGTAGGAACGACAACCGACGACATACAGACCATCGCTGTGGTAGACAATGCTCACATCGCTCTGGCAGCTTGGCAGCTTGCGGGAGACCGTGTGCTTAAGGTCTCCGAGTTTAGGATTTGCTTGTATCAGTTTGGGAAGAGCGTGGCGATCTCCTTGAACTCCTGTTATCTTTAATTAAATTAATTAAAGATAATATTTCTAAAACTATCGACTTGTGCCACCTTCCCACTATCGCGCGTGGCGAAACTATCGGTTCAGCTGGGCTCGCCGCGGAACCAGTCGCTCCGCTCTAGTCTACGCACCACCATTTTGATGATAGCCAAAAGAGTGAAAGACAACAAATCGGATTAAACAATCGCCTCGAGATGTTCAACGGGATGGTGAGAACCATCCGCGACAGCGTCGTGGGCACCTACCCGTCCTGCCACGTGTCCTCGCGGCTGGAGGAGCGGCGGGCCAAGCAGAGGGCGATGCGCCAGGAGCGCAGGAGGAAACCGGACAAGCCGGACGACTTTGTCACCTACGAGGACTCGGGCAGCGACGAGGAGACGCCCCAGCAGCAGGAGGAGGTGCTGAACACCTCATACAACCTCTGCGACTACCTGCGCAGCCGGGAGAGCGGCCTCCGGGATGTGGGTAAACCGTTAGCAGTTCCACCACTTGACCCTACTAACATGAACTTTGTCCCATCTTTCCCTGCAGCGTCGCAGCGTCAATGTGGAGTACACAAGCCGCTATGTGCTCACCCACGACATGCTGCGCGAAACGCAGATCAGCCTGGGCTACATCAACAAGGTCTTCTGCTCCAAGTGGCTGAGCAGCAGACAAGTGGTCTTCGGCACAAAGTGCAACAAGCTGCTGGTCTACGACGTGAACATGCGGCGGGTGGACGCCATACCCACGCTGTCCAACAGCCGTGCCAACCATCCGGAGGTTCAGGGTGGCCTGCACGCCATCGAGCTGTCGCCCAGCCGCTCCTTCCTGGCCACCGGAGCACGCAACTCCTCGGACATCGCTGTGTATCGACTGCCTACGCTGGATCCCGTTTGCGTTGGCGAGGGCGGACACCGCGACCTGATCATGGGCATGTGCTGGCTGGATGACCAGTTCCTGGTCTCCGGCTCCAAGGATTCGCGCATGGCCTTGTGGCGCATCAACGAGGATCACATGGAGTTCCCGGATGGCGGCGAGGAGGCGTGTCCCACCTTTGCCACAATCCATCCACTGAGCGTCAAGGAAGTGCGAACTGCCCAGAGGGTGAGTTTGGTAACGAAATTCCAATATATATGCATTTTATATAACATAATCCCTTGCAGATCCGTTCGCTTTGCTTCAACAAGGAGTTCAAGGAGATCGCTGCCCTCTCCCTGAACGGCTACATTCACATCTTCAACGCGGAGACCTTCAAGCAGACGCTCTCCCGCAAGCTGCCAAACTGCCAGGACAATGTGAGCATTGCCTACCACAGCGACGGTCTGTATGCCGTCGGCTGCCGTTCCTACACCATCCTCCTGGACGCGCGGACGCTTCAGACCATCAAGAAGATCACCTCCCGGTACAGTGGGTGCGGAATTCGGGCCACATCCTTCGAGGGAAACCTCCTGACCGTCGGCACGGGTCTGGGCATGCTCCTGTTCTACGACATCCGCGCCGGAAAGTATCTGGAGAGCAGTGTGAATGCCTCGCGCACCGTTGCACTCAAGTGCAGCAAGGGAATTGTGGTAAGTGAAGTTGTCAGGCTATTAGTTTGGTCAACACAGAAAGGATTCACGTTAGAGCCCTGCGTGAATCATTCCATTTTTGTTTTATCATAGTATGCCATTAAATTTCTGATTTGTTTAATTTAATTGAATTTTAGGATTTAGTTTAATAATTCAATCCTTTGTGAAATTAATTGAGTGTTTTTTTTTAACGGTTTTTTTTTTTTTGCTTTCTTTTGAGAACAAAAAGTGGAAAATTTTTAACAAATCAATGTTAACTGCATAGTAAACAAAATTAAGGCCGATTTAATCACAAAATTATGGTCCTTTCTTCTTCAAAAGAAATGGTCGTTTGAATTATTTCGGTATTCATGCCACTCATTCATTCAATTCTATTAAACTCAAAATTGGAATTAATTCATTCAAAAAATTCAAAATAATTAAATCCATTCATGCATTGCTCTAATTCACGTCTATATTTTGTCTTTATTGCAGTACCCAGAGGACGAGATGGACGGCTTCCAGCAGGTGAAGTACGTGCCCGCCATCTATACCCACTGCTACGACAGCACCAGGATGCGGCTCTTCGCAGCGGGCGGACCTCTGCCGGCCACCTTGGTGGGCAACTATGCGGGCGTTTGGCAATAGACTAGCAATGGATGCGATCCGCGCTCACATTACTGATTAGTCCTTAAGTAGTTATTCGACTTGTGATCTATAATCTTCTGGCGCATTTCGATTCAAAAGCGTTCACCTGCATACGTATTCCGCCAAGTCCGAAGTTTTTAATTTAGTTCGATTACTCAGTTTGGGTTTTAATAATCTTTATGTTAGGTTTATGTTAATGATATTTTATATTGTGTGAACAATATACACCGTTCATAAGTGTAAATGTATGCATAACTACTGATCCTATTTATATATATAGTACATACAATACAAGTAATGGAATACTAATTTATAGACAATGCAGCTGATTTATAGTCTGATCTATATGGTAATAGAATTTCAAATTAAAGAAAACATTGACAAACTGATTTTCTTTTATATTCTCTCGAGAGTGCTGTATAGGGCGCTCAACACACAACGGATATGAACATATATAAGAGTGTACAAAGTACGGTGTGCCAAACAGCAACGGGCAATTTTAAAATACATTAATATAAAAGGAAATTGTACAAGATTTACAGAATGTTTGCTAAGCAACTGGCGACTAACCACATCCATCAATACCAATAGTTATGTATGTATATCTTATGACGACAGCTAATTGTTGTTGGGGCTGCCTCCTCCACTCCACGCGGTAAGGAATCCCGTCCAGCTGCGACTGCTGCCATCTGGAGACACTGAAGGAAAAAGAGAAGAGGGAATATAATAGAGATATCCTCAAAATGGTTGTTATAAGCTAACAAGTACCCTTCTGTCCTTTGGCCACACAATTGAGCATCTCCATTTCGTTGCGACTTAAACGGAGGATGGTATTCAGCACCGGAACCAAACGCTGGCGCTCGTCCACATTGTTAAGTGTAAGGAACTGCAAGTTGATAAACCAATTTATTTATCAAGAAATTATAAAATATTCTTTTGCATTTTCCCACCTTTAAGAAAACGTTCTTCAAATACTCGGAGTTGTGCATGTGGTGTTCCCGCTCCTCTGAGCGTTCTTGCCGTCGCAATTCCTCCTTGAGCATATCGTTCATCTGCGTCAGTTTGGCCAAATCCTGCTCGTTCTCAGCCAGCAGGGAAGTCAAGTGCTTGATGCGACTTTCCTGTTTACCCAGCTGCTCCTTTGTGGCCTGCAGTTGGGCACTCTGGACGGCGGTCATTTCCGCTTCCTCATCCTCCTGCTGAGAGACGCTGCGGCCGAAATTCGTGATGGTGGTTACGGTGTCGCTGGTTATTTGGTTCATGGAAGTGTTGAGCAGCTCGTCGAGCGGCATAAAGTCGTGGGAACGTCTCGAGGCAGTGGAGATCTTTCGCTGGGCGGCCAATTGCGCCAGGGAGGCATCGTGGCCAGCATGGTTTTCCGAACTCGATTCGTGGTCCATGAGCAGGTAATCGATCTTTGCCTGTTCTGGACTCGGCTCTCCACTGGCGGCCGAAGTGGCGCTATGTTGGGACACGTTAATCTGCTTCTGCTCCGCCTCCTCCAACTGTTGTTGCACCTGTTTTAGTTGCAACTGATGGCCGGCGTCCAGTTGATCAACTTGCTGGCGATGCTGCTGCATTAGGTCGTGTTGGAATTGCAACTGGCGTTGGTTTTCCAGCGAAAGCAGGTCGTTTTGCTGGCGCAATTCGTCTACCAGTGTGAGAAGCTCTTTGCTGCGTTTCTGCAGATCAGCGTTGTCTTGTCGCAATGCTTCTACTTGGCTATCCATTTGCGCCAGGCGAGCAGCTCTTCCATCGTTGCTGGCGCGCAGGTTGCGTTCACTCTCGCGAAGCACGAGCAATTCTTCCTCCAGTTCCTGTTCTCGGTTGGAGCCCTTGCTTTGGTTTTTGCGCAGCACCGACTGTGCTTTTATCTTGTACTCGGTGTACTCTACTCGCAGATCCTCCTGCGCCCGTTCCGCATTCCGGAGCGCCGTCTCCAATCGCTTTTGCTCCGCCAAGTGCACCTCCAGCTCCTCTGTTCGCGTGGTCAGCTGTTGGGTGGCTGTGCTTAGCCTGGTTTCGTACTGCTGGGCGCTCTCCGCCAGCTGAAGACGCAGTTGCTCCGCCTCCAGCTTGACCCGCTCAACCGCCTGCTCCAAATCCTTGTTCTGCGTGAGTGCCTGCTGTTTGCCGTGAACAGCATCCTTCACCTGGACCTGCATGCGATCGATTTGCTCTTTGAGCTCCAGAGAATGAGTCGCCTCTCCGTTTTTGGCCTGCTCCAGAATGGCGATCTCCTTGCGCAGCTGGACGATGGTGTTCTCCTTGCTGGCCAGCGATTCTCGGACGGCATCCAGTTCGCTGCTCTTGGCCGCCAGTTTGGCACTGACTTCGGTAAGAGATTTTTCGGCCGCTTCGATCTCCAGATTGAGGACACTAGATGGTTTTACTTTCTCCTTGGACCTGAGCTTCTGGTTCTCAGCTCGGGCGGCATTTAGATCCTGCTGCAGTTGCACCTGGGCCATTTTCACAGCCTCCAACTCCTGCTTCAAGGCTCCGCTCTGTTCCATCTCCTTCAGTTGCTGCGTCTGCTCCTGCAGCTTCTTCTTGAGCTTGGCAGCAATGGCTCGCAGTTTGTGGTACTTCTCCTCGTAGCCCTCGTCCAGTTCGCGCAGCCGGTTCAATTCGTCGGCTCGTGAAATCGTGGATGTGGACATGACATCACTCTGGGCATCGGCATTGGCCTGTTCCAGTTCCTCAACACGATTTTGAAGTTGTTTAATCTTCTGTAACTTTTCCTGCGCCGCCTGCTGACTGCTGGAGAGTTGGGCCTCCAAATCGCGCTGTCGCTTGACCTCCGCTTCGTGCTGCTCCTGAAGGCGGGAGATGGCATCACCGCGTCCCTTCAGCGCCTCGTTTAGTTCGCGCATTTCTGTGAGCAGCTCACCATGCTCCTGCTCCTTGAGGTGGAATCGGGAGAGTAGGTCCTCGTTGTGTTGGCGCAGTTCTATGCAAATGGCCTCCAGATCCTGTAGTTGCCTCTGTTGGTTATTGCGCTCCTCTGCGATGACTTGGACGAGGTTTTGCATTTGATTAAGTTTGGCCCGGAAAAGGCTCTCATTCAGGTTGCTGGAAGGGATCTCAATCCTCTGCTGCTCCTTCTCCAGTTTCTGTTCCTTTTTGACAGTGGCTGCCAGCTGTTCGATGGCATTTAACTTCTTCAGCAGACGCTCCACATCCAAATGGCTCCTCTGCTGCTTCACCGTTCTGGCCAATCGGTCCAGTTCCTGAATCCTCTCCAGCCATCGTTCCCGATCGATTCCAGTGTCTGGCTTTTCGCTGCTCTGCTTTAGTTTTTCGTTCTCAGCCTGCAGGGACATCATCTTGGCGCACAGCAGCTGCGAGGCCTTGATGATCTCCACCTGCCACTTGGACACGGAGGCGGCATACTCGTGCTGCGTCTCCAGAAGCACGCACTTGCACTCCTTGAGGTTCTTCAGCTTGCGGTGGACGTCGATGAAGCGATCCTTCAGCGAGTTAAACTTCTTGCGCTGCTCAGAGTTGATTTCCTTGATGCCCTGGTACTTCTGCTGCATCAGCGTCGATTCCTCGGCCACGGCGACCAGTTGCTGGCGGAGATTGGCGTTTTCCGCCTCCGCCTCCTTGATCTTGGCAATGTCGACCTCTAGAAGTTCCAGATTCTTGCGCTGCTCGTTGCCCAAAGCGTTGACCTGTTGCATGGCCTTCTCCATGCGATCCACATCGGCCAGCAGGACATCGTTCTCGTCACTCAGCCGCCCAAGCTGGCGCTTCAGGCTCTCGTTCTCGATCTCGAATTGCGCCAGGCGGTCGGCATCCTCCTTGGTCTTGCGCTTCAGCGAGTTCACCTGCTCGGTGAGTATGAGGTTCTTGTCGGTAAAGTCCTGGACCATCTCCTGCATGGCCGGCAGGCTGCTCTGCTTCTCCGCCGCCCTTTTTAGGGCCTCCTTGAGGCGGTGATTCTCCTCGGTGAGTTCTGTAAGTGTAAGTCAAGGAAATGGCTTCTGTTTTTTGGAAGATTCCCAAACTCACCATCCTTCGCCTGCTTTGCCTTCTTGGCAATGTTCAGCAGGCCTTTATATTTGCCGATGATTTCATCTTTGCTTAAAGACTCGATTGGATTCGTGTTCTTCTGCAAATGCAAATAACAAAATGAGACGTCATCATCCACTTTGGTGACACCTTTTTAGTTACCTGGGTTTCCCTCGGTGATGCGGCCTCCATGTTACTTGCTAACTGCGTGTCCTTGCATTTAATCGCGGTGCAACCATTTAAGCCTTAGTCCTTGCAGATTGGGGCTTCTCCTTTCAGGCAGCTAACTAGATTATTGGCAAATGTTTTTGGACCCTAATTCAGACCGAGTGAAGAAAACACTGGAGTGCCACACTAACAGCTGATAGGGTTGTCATGGCTGTCAAACTAGTGATGGGCGACTTGGAGAGGGAAGGTGGCGCAAATTAAAAGGGGTTCATAATTAAAAAACATATTTTATTAAGTTAAAAAATTAGAATTAAATTGGAAAACCATCTATTAAAGACACAAATATTTTTAAATACCGGGAATAACTTTTAAAAATATTTATTTAATGCCTACCTATCGCTGTTGCCATTTTAAAGGGGGACGTTTTCACATAGAGAATTGCAGCTAAACGCTGAAGCTGAAGGGAGAGGACGTATAAACCTAAATACAATTTGAACAATCCTAATGCTTTTCAAATTGCGTCTTTTCTAGCACATGTATAAAGTTTATAGTCGCTGAAGTGGAATTCGGTCGCTATAGCGAAAGCCCGATGTGTGTCAACAGGCTATAAACTGGCTATAAAAAAGCTCAACCTCTCATCGCTAAAAAACTATCGATGCTTTTGACCACAGCGTGCTATCGATACTATTGGGAGTGCCATCACTATTATTGAAACCCTTCTTCCAGGCGTGCAAAAAAAAAACATTTAGGCCCAAAAAGCGAGAATTCTGGCGATTTGCAGCGCTATTCCGGCAGCATGCGTGGACACTGAGGCGAGCCACGCCCAGCGAGAGTGACAATGACGGAGAACACAGAGAAAGCGGCGAGCGTGGAGCCGCCACAACTGGCGGAGTCTCAGCCAAATCCTCCTGACCAGGAGCCACTTGCCCTGGCCGAGGTTCCGCCAATCAAGGTGAAGAGCGAGCGGCCGGACGCCGAGGTGGAGGCCAAACTCCGCGCTCTGAACGCCAAGATTAAGGCTGAATCACTGGCCCCCCAGCGGCGGAGCAACAGCAAGGAACAGGAGGAGGAAACGGAGGACAGCGACAGCTCCTCCTCGACGGAGGACAAGAAGGCCATTGTGCCGGTGAAGTCCTCCAACGAGATCCTCGCCGAGCTGTTCGGCGTGTTCAACGCTGCTCCTCCGGAGGAACTGCTGGACGACAAGAATCTGCTCAAGAAAAAGAAGAAGGTCAAGAAGGAGAAGAAGGAAAAGAAGGCCAAGAAGAAGAAGCCGTCCAAGTCGGATGGCGAATGCAGCGAATCGGAGGCCGAAGGAAACAAGCACAAGCATAAACACAAGAAGCACAGGCACAAGCATAAAGAGGGCAAGGTCAAGGACAAGGATAAAGATCGTGTCCGAGATAGGGACAAATCCAAGGAGAAGATTGCCACTACGGCACCAGTTCCCGCACCCGCTGAGAAAGAGAAGGAGAAAGAAAAGTCTGAGAGCAGAAAGCGAAGCGCTGCGGAGTCTGTTAGCCAGACGACGTCCCATCCTGTCAAGCGGGAGCGGCATGAAAGAGACAAGGAACGGGATCGGGAACGCGAGAGGGAGCGGGAAAAGGACCGCGAAAGGGAGCGGGAAAAGGAGCGTGAAAAGGAGCGTGGCCGTTCCCACAACAGCTTCTACAACGGACACCGGGAATCGGAACGCTCGAGAGGATCTGAGGCGGGCAGAACCAAATCCCGACACTCACGCGACCTTTCCGATGTCTCGCTCTCCGACGAGGAGTCCTACCTCCGGGAGAAGGCCTCCAATGGCCGCCGACGGCCGCACAACAGCTTCTACGACGGCAAGGAGGAGCCCAGGAACCCCAGGAAAAATCGAAGGTCCAGATCTCGCTCCCGCGAACTCGGCATCGACAAGAAGCGCCTGCTCGAGATTGCGCGCAAGAACGCCATCGCCATGTTCAAGCGAGGCACTCTGCCCGGCGTGGCCAACATGACGCCGGAGTTCAAGGACAAGGTGCTGGTCAAGATGCGCTACGGCGGACGCACTGTCCAGGATCTGACCGACTTCTGCAAGAAGATCTCCAACGGCGACGGGCTGTCCGATCTGAGTTCCGACGAGGATTCCGATGTGGACAAGAATGGCAATGCGAAAGCCTTTCATCATCCCTTTCAGCTGAAGGAGCGCGAGCCGATTGTCATGCACATAAGGAAACTCAACGGCTCTGGTTCCCTTACCCTCCCGACAGGACGACCAAACGAAGGCGATAACCATGCAGTTTCCAGTGTCATCGGGCCAGACGCATCGCAATAATGAGGTGTGGGTGCCGGTGGAGCGCAAGGATTCGTTGGTGCCGCTGCCCTCGCTGCCTCCGGCCAAACAAGCTACCAATATGTTCAAGGAAACGCCGAAGAACGTCTTCGCCAAGTCGATGCCTTCGCAGGAGCAGCAGGAGCCCGCCTTTAAGCCGGTGGGCGGAGCACCTCTTATGCCAGCCGCAGCTGCAACTCCCTCTCCCGCTATTCCCCAACCCGTCCCGCCGCCCAAAGAGCCTCCAATGGCTGCTGCTCCATTTGTACCCGAGGTGCCCATCCCATCGGCGGCACCAGCGACGCCTGCGCCAAGTGCTTCCATCTTTCCGGAGGTGACGCCGCCCTCCATGGATGTCTCCAGCATAATCACCCAGCGCCTGAGTGCCATTCGCCGGCTGCAGGTGAGTTCTAAACAGGGTTTGGAAATTGACACATATGTTAAAAACATGAAAAATTTTATTTTACAGTGTGAGCAAAATTTTTGTCATGTGTGTCAAATACAAAAGTGTTAAATTGTGAAAAATAATTGTTAACACACACAGCTCACTTGTGTTTTTTACACACTGTTTTTAACACGACGTGTTTTTTACACACTGTGTTTTTAACAGAAATGAAAATTACATTTCACAGACATTACGAGTCGAAGGGAAAATGAAATACCAATATGGGCCATGATATCTTATATGCTAGTTTTAACCATTTCAAAGCATATATGAATTCTAATACTCTAGAAAACCGTGCATTTTTCAGTTCCACATACAATTCTGACACTTTAATTTCAAAAGCTCATTGTGTTAAAAACACGCTGCGTAAAAAACACGTCGTGTTCATAACACATCGTGTAAATAACACAAATGACAAGTGTGTGTTATTTATGCTTCTAACATATGAAGGATACAATTTTTTACACACAAGTCAATAATTCTTTTGACCTTAACACTTTAACATTTAACATGTTAAAAAACATAACAAAAACTCATATGAAACAAAATTTTTGACGTTGTTTTCATATGATTTTTGTTTTGACGACTTTTGGGTTAGTACTACCTTAATAACAAACGTTTTTTACAGTGTGTGCTATTTTCCGAACCCTGGTTCTAAAGAATTTTTGTTTTCATGTGTTTTCTAATATTTGTTTTTCTCCCCCAACTAGGACAATCCGGCCGACTCTGAGGCTCTGAAGATGATGTACAATGCGCAGCGGAACATGTCATCCTGGGCCAACTCAAAGCACCTGCCCGGCCAGTTCACGGGGAGTACGGGTGCCCAGGTGATGAAGGCCCACGAGCTGAACAGCGGGCCGCAGCTGTGGGTGCGCAAGGACCAAATGACCTCCACCAAACCGGTGACTGGTGGCATGGGAATGGCGCTGCTGCAGAAGATGGGCTGGAAGCCGGGCGAAGGGCTGGGCAGATGTAAAACAGGATCCCTGCAGCCTCTTCTACTGGACGTGAAGCTGGACAAGCGAGGCCTGGTGTCGCGCGAGGACCTCAAGCAGCCGCCAACGCGTCCGTCGGGCGCCCAGCGAAGGAACAAGAACGCAGCCGGCCCAGCCGGAGGTGGTGGTCCTGGGGGAGCGGCAACGGGAGGAGCGGGAGCGCCACTGGTCACCCAGGACAAGCATCCCGTGTGTGTGCTCAACGAACTGACCTCAAAGAACAAGTGGACGCCGCCGCAGTACAAGCTGCGCCAGGATATCGGACCCGCCCACAACCGCTCGTTCCTTTTTTCGGTTGAGATCAACGGGCAGACGTACACGCCGGAAAGGGGATGCAACAACAAGAAGGAGGCCAAGCTGAACGCGGCCGCGATTTGTTTGAGAGCTTTAGGCATCCTTCCGCCCAGTTAGTGATGGAACTAGGCCTAGGCTAATTTCTAGTTAGTAAATAGCATAGAATCCCGAAACTGTATATAAAGATAGCAATAAGTCTAATAGTATGAAAAGTTGTACGTCTGTAAACTGAACGTAAAAAAATCAGAAAAAATCAGGAAATAACATTTTTGACAACATTTTTAAAATTTTAAAACATTAAAAAGTTTAATTTTTACCATTTAATATTATTTCAAGTTATCAGCAACACTACTAACAAAAAATCCTAAATAAATTGATTAGACTTTAATTAATTTTGTTCCTACATTTTAGATACATATTCTTTGAAGATCAAATTTCTAAACTTTAGGATTAATATTTTTATTCCTCTTTTTCAATAGCCGTTATGTGAACTTAGTAACATCCGCTCATAATTAGTTCCTTATTTTATAAAGTTTTTTTTAATTAGACTTACCCCTTTGTGAAATCATTGAAATGAATTTCTTTTCTCATTAAATTTCAAATTTTTCACAGTGTTATCATAATACCGTACTTTGAAGTTTTTGGGTGAACAGCTTTTAAAAGAGAGAGAGTGGGGAGAGCGAGCTTTCATCCAACAGTGGGCCACATTAAAGTGGGGCATGGGGAGTTCGATAAACCGTGCGATTGGAGCCCCATTCGCCCCACTGTGCCACCATGGGCTTGCAGTTTTCGCACGCGAGCTTTGATTATAACGGGGCTAACGGGGCTTTTGCGCAAGTACACAAACAAAGCCAGCTGTTTCGACTGGGCCAATAACAGTGGGGTGTGTGTGCGTTAAATCTCTCGGCGCTGCAAGTTCCAAAAGATTGCTCCTCGACGAAGGTCAGTTCACGCGGAAGCTCGAACTTCGTCGGATGGCGAACACGGATTACCTTCGAACTGGCTAGCCGCGCAGCAGGAAGGGCAAGGGATAGGGAACGGGGAGCAGAGGTCGTCACCCGGATACAGACAAAACTTTTCCGAGTGCCCCAGTCCCAGCATCCAATACCCAAAAACGTGCAAAAATATTCGTTTGTTGTGAAAATATCCACTCCAGCGTACGCACAGATGCTTTCGAGCCCACTGAAAATCGGGATGTGGCTGTGGATTTGGCTGCGGTTTTCAAATCGGCACAAGCAAACAGCCATCGCTCGTATGTAACTCACAAAGTTGCATAATTACCACACATGAATGGCTGGCGACGAACCGAATTTGGGCGTTGTTGCAGTTGCAGTTGCACATTGCCATTGCTGATGCACTGCCGCATTTTCGCTGGCCACTTTGTTTGCGGCCACCGCCATGGAAACGTGTCGCACCTGTGCGATTTCCATGTTTGTGTGCGACTTCGAGAATGGCAGCAGCAACACCCACTTCCTGGACCTCCATCATCCCAACTGCTGGCCAAGCGAGATGGCCCAAGTTCGCCAGCAGTTCGTCACCTGGAATCTGAAGGTGAGTGTACTCTAGTCTTAGTTACCTTACTGTAAAATAAACTATGAAAGTTGGGATACCAAAACCACCAAAAATATTAAGTTATAGCCCTTTGAAGTCGAAATATCGTGTATTAAAAACATTATAAAATCAAGATTTTTTATTTCTAACAAAGATGGCAAATCTTTTTTCTACTGTGTGGAGTGATTGTTGCCTTGTAACCACCTCTCTTTGAAAATTGCAACTTTTCGCAAGTGAAAGTTTGTGTGTAGGCAACGATTTGGCATTAAATTGCGCAGAGGTTTCGTGAAACAAAGCTGGGAAAGGCACTTGGGGTTAAATTATGCACATGCTGGCAATTTTCATGTTATGCCTAAAGCTTTTGGGAAATAGTCAATCTGCAGTTTTCCTGAAAAACTCATCCTTTATATTTGCTAAAAAGTAATTTGTAGCAAACACGTACATTACGTAATAATAATAATAATAATAATAATTTATTTTACAATTAGTTTATAAATTAAGATATAGTGCCATATATTTTTACCACTGCCCGATCGATGTCGTAGGCAAGCCAATGGGTTTCCAGTAGGTAATCTCCTTCTGGGAAAGGTAGAACCTTCGTAACTTGGTGGTTAACAAAGTCGATGGGAACCTTTTCCACAATGAGATCATGCTAATGTTAAAAAAATATTTAAAATGCAGCTATTATAATAATAATAATATCCCTAGAACATGCTTACATCAAACGGACAGGTGTGGTTAATATTCGAAAAGGGTCTGAAGAAAAGTTCAAAAAGTAATTAACTATTGGGTTCGAATTAGTATCTTTCAAGAATCTACAGGCATCCACTGTGACATTGAACATGAAAGGCCTGTAGCCGCTGAATCGTTTGTAGAGTATTCCTTTGAACTAAGGATAAAAATGCTATATCTTTAATTCTTCGTGTTTCTTATTATCTACATACCTTTACTTTCGTAATTGGAATTTTGAATAAATTCACTTTTAGAGATAAATATTTGTAGGTTCGATTCACTGACTTTAAAAAGCAATATTCGAAATCGTCAAACTTTTTATGTAAAGATGTGCACACGACGTTGGTGAATTCAAAGTTGGATGAAATCTTTAAACAAATCTATTAGGTATAATTTTGTTAAGACACTTTAAAAACCTTTAAGCAACCTTTTCAGCCATATAAAAAATTATGAAAATATATATCATTTGGCTGCTTAAATTTTTCCACATCTTACAATAATGGAGCAACAATAAGAACTGTTTAAAAATGTAATTTTGTAATGGCCATTTTATTGCAATTATTTTTCGCTTTTAGCAGCTTAATTATTTATTCGATTAGCGATTAGTATTCTAATGAGGCTTAAAGATAGAAAAAGATACGTTTAACAACCTGTAAAATGATAACTCTCTAAAAGCGTAAGTCTTTTTTAATGTATATCTAATGAGCCATATCAAAATTCTGTTTAAAAACCGATATTGTACTTATGAAAATTAAGATACAACTAATTTCAGATCTCTCCCAATGATGGATTGCCTCAGAAAATCTGCAGCGACTGCTTCACCAAGTTCTGTTCGATAAACGCATTCCGGGTGGCTTGCCAGGAGGCTCAGCTGAAGTTGTCCAATATTTACGACAAGATCGATGCCAGCAGCCTGGAGGAGGAGCACCCCGAGGACTTGGACCAAGCAGAGGAGCCCCGGGGAACAGAAACAACCAAATTAACAACGACGGTTTCAGCCGAAACACAACCAAACACTGCCAGTGACACCATAGAGATTTTTGTGGATGCCGTAGACATCAACCAGGAGGAAGAGGAGCAACCTCCGGAGGAATATGCCACTCCGGAACTGACCATTAGCTACACCTGTAAGTTCTGCCTGCGGCCGGAGGAGAGCTATCAGCTGCAGCAACTTTTGCTGGAGCACATCAACACCAGCCACGATCCGGAGCAGCCGTACAATTGTCCGGAGTGCGAGGCCCGCTTCCAGGATGCCGCCTCGAGGACCGTGCACCTGAAGAACAGCCACGTGGAGAAGCAACATGCCTGCGAGGTGTGCGGCAAGAAGTACGGCGATCGGCACAATCTGCGTCACCACGTGGAGAAGTACCATTCGGAGACGGACTTCGAGTGCGCCTTGTGCGAGAAACGCTTCTACACCCGCAAGAGCCTCAACTACCACATGAAGTGGCATAATCCGGACCGCCAGTTCAAGTGTCGCCACGGCGGATGCGAGCGGCTCTTCATCAGCCAGCGGCACCTCATGTGCCACGAAGCCACGCACTCGGGCACCAGCTCCAGGAAGAGCGAGCACTGCGGCTTCTGCGGAAAAAGTAAGAATACTGTGTGTGTTGGCAGAGCGGCGGAAGAGAACAATAAAGTTCATTGCTTTAAAGATATTTTCCACATTTCTGTTCACACAGAAAATTATAGAACAATATGGGATTAATATTATTTAATATAAATTTTTCCATAACAAAATGGTAAGAGTTCATATCAATATGGTACAAAATCATACATACATATGTTCGGAAATATCATTTTGATATGAACACTAGGGCGGTCCAAAAAATGAAAATCTATTCTCACCCTTTCACATGGTATATAAAAGTAAGCAAAAAATGTATGTGAAAACAAAAAAATATTTTTTCGTAATATACCCCTTGCGAAACGTCGTCAAAGTTTCCTTAAAAATTATTCATTTGACACGTATAACAGTTCTAATTTGATCGAAAAAAATCTTTCTCCCATTTCTTATCTTGTCAAGTTATGAATTTTGTTGGAATAATTTGTAAAAAAGGAGAAGCAATACATCAACTGAATTGTTAAAATCTATGCCACCTTGATTAAAAAATTTTTTAATCGAAGGCAACAGTGCGTATGGGTGATAAACTTTGAAGCCAATTCGCAGACCCTAAAACACGATTTTTTCAAAAATGTTCTTTTGGTATACCTTGAATACCACAATGCGCACCGTATAGTCGGGTGAGAGTAGTACAAATGAACACGGAATGGACCAAAATTGATATTAAACAAGAAAGGAAGCTAGCTTCGGCCAGCCGAAGCTTATATACCCT